GAAGTGGAATGATGTAGCAGGGCTTGAGAGTGCCAAGCAGGCATTGCAAGAGGCTGTTATCCTGCCGGTTAAGTTTCCTCAGTTTTTTACTGGTTAGTTTGTCACTTCTCTTTTCTGTGTTTTGGTACATAAATTAGATGAAAGCTTTTTATAAAGAAGTGAACTAAGGTTTAAAGATGTCGTATCATTCCTCTGGATAATTTATACTAGTATGTAACATCTTCAGTTCAAAGTGTTTTTTTGGCTTTCACTTTTTGCAGCATAACTTTTGCTTATATCAGTCTACCGTATTGTCTGTTCAATAACTTATGTCTATCTTCCCTTATATTGGGGATAATTTTTCCACTTTATAATTGTTTTGGTACACTACTTACACCACCTCCTTTATATTGTAATAGGAATGTTAGTAAGTGCAGAATTCCACCCTAAACTCTTATAACCATGATAATTTTTCTCTTAAACTAAATTACATTGCATTGTTGTCTCGAACTTTAAAGTGAAATAACTTACCTTTTTGTGACTTATCAAAAGTGAGGTTCCGCATACTATTTCAATCGTCCTTATCATTTTTCTTCTTCCTCTCCTCTTTTCTCCTTTCCCTGTCTTCCTTTTTCCAACCAGCATCCACTTGTTGGACCTGCAGTTGGCTCTTATATTGGAAAAAAGGCAGAGGGGGAGCAGGAAGAGAGAAGATAAGAAAAATAAGCAGCATGAGATGGAGAAGGGGGTGAGAGACTTCATGGGATAGGCTGAGGCGACGAATACAGTGGATCTTAGTGAAACAAAAGAAAAAGAACCTCCAATGGCAGCCTGGAGAGAGGGAATTACGTGAGGTTGAGGAGAGGTTGGCAGTGGGCTATACTGTCGAGAATTAGCAACAGCAGAAATAGGAGGATGAAAAACATAGGTGAGAAGAATTTGATTGTTAATTGAAGGTTACCATGGTGGTGGGAGTACTAAATAGATGGAAGGGGGGAAATAAAAATGGTAGGTGGTTTTGTGTTCCTGGTTTACCTCAACGTTATCTGGGATGTTTAAAGAAAGAGGCTGTTAAGTAGACCTTTTGAGTTTAAGAATGAAAATGGTAAACAATTTAGTTTAAAGGGAAAATACCGCAGTTGTAGAAGACTTAGTGATATTTGTTCTAAACAGCTTGGTTTTTCTTTTTGAAATGTATTCATTTGTGATTTGTCGCTTTTCTTTTTGAAACCTAGTACTGGGACCACTATCTTCGTTTTCTTCTGTGAACCTTATATCCAAATGGTGGAAAGTGTCATACAAGTGAAGTAGTCCCTTGTGGTATTTAGTTGGAGATCTTAAAGAAAGTATTTGAAACTGCAACTTCAAGAGTAATGCCACTTCCTCATAAAAAGTCAATAACTGTATGAAAAGATTAAGTAGAAGTCTTTTTATGTTCATAGTTTCTTGAGCTAGTATTCCTGTTTCATTGTTTACTTTCTTATTAGGCAAGCGTCGACCATGGAGAGCCTTTCTGTTATATGGTCCACCTGGAACAGGAAAGTCATACCTAGCAAAAGCTGTTGCTACAGAAGCAGATTCAACCTTTTTCAGGTAAGATGAAGCTAATGCGTGAGATTCAACTCTTCTGGATTTTATTAAATGGTTAAGGATATGTGTTAGTGACATTTCCTTCTTATCCATTTCCCCTTGCATCACTTTGGAACTCTCTACCTTCAAGAAAAATATGCTCTCAATTCCTCTTAGTGGAAAAGTCTTGTGTATATGTGTCCATTATTGTTGAAGGGCAATAACGTTGATAGAAGTAAAAGAGGATCATGCACAGTGGAAACATCTGCTTGTTATCCATTTCCCATTCATACTCTTCCCCACAAGCGTGCAGAGACACACTGCCTGGGAGATGAAGGATTTCTGAGACCAGAAATCAATATTTTGTTCTGCCTAGCATCTTCGACTTCTTTAACAGATAAACATCATGCATCTGAAATTCTCCTGTCTTGGCTATGCAGTGTTTCTTCATCAGACCTTGTTTCAAAGTGGATGGGTGAAAGTGAAAAACTTGTGTCAAATCTATTCCAAATGGCCCGAGAAAGTTCTCCTTCAATAGTATTTATAGACGAAATTGACTCCCTATGTGGCCAAAGAGGTGAGGGTAGTGAAAGTGAAGCATCGAGACGTATCAAAACTGAGCTTCTTGTACAGATGCAGGTAAATTATGTCGTGTGGATTTATTGGAACTGCCTTCTTGATTCTGAGTTCTTATTTTCACTAATCTTCTGCTGGCAGAATTATTCCTTAGCAAACTCAACAGACTTTAGTAGTTAGATATTAGTATATTACACATTATATCCTGGTTTGTTTTGGGATTTTAAAAAACTATATTCAATAGGATAGAGCTTTGAGTCTTCATTTTTCAATTTTTTATTTTTGGATAGATGGAGTTCAGAGTGTTTTTAAGCAAGTGCGCTGGAGTTGAGAGATCTCAGGCTTTGGTGCTTCCTTTGCTTTGAATACCATTACAACCTTATGGTTTGATCCTTAAGGACTTGGGGGAAATCCCTTCAGCTTCCGTTCCTCTTGCCAATGCTTTTGGGTTCTGGGAACAGCCGTCATTTTCAATTTTCTCAGCCTCTTTTGTTCTTTTAACATTTCTAAGCCATCATGCAACATAAAGCCCTTCCATTCTACCATTCCCTACCCTTGTTTGCAGTGCATTTTCAGAATTTCGAACTCTATAACTACTGTGAACTTGTCTTGCATCAGGAACGTTTCATTACAGTTGTGAAGTTCTCTTATTCTTATCTATCACTCGGAGCTCTTAACTAAAAATTATTTGAGCCTTTTCTTTAATAAATTTCATGATAGTTTTCAATATTGCTTTAGGCTGACTGTCTTCAATTATTCTAGGGTGTAGGGCATGATGATGACAAAAAAGTTCTGGTTCTTGCAGCAACAAACACTCCCTACTCATTAGACCAGGTTAGAAGGGCCTTTCGACACTCTTTAATTCATGCTAGAGTTATTTCTCCTTTCCTGTCTAACGTGTAGCTTTCCCAGGCTATTAGACGGAGATTTGACAAAAGAATATACATTCCCCTACCAGATTTGAAGGCAAGGCAACACATGTTCAAGGTACATGTGAAATATTTTAAGCTATCAGGAATCCTCCTGGTGCTTTGGTCTCTGGTTTTAAGACATACTAATCTTATTGTGTTCATGAGCAGGTACATTTAGGAGATACCCCTCACAACTTGACAGAAAGTGATTTTGAGCAACTAGCTCGGAAAACAGAAGGTTTTTCAGGTTCAGACATTTCTGTGTGTGTAAGTATCACAGTTTTAGCTGAAATAGTTTTTGAAGCACTATTGTGTTTTTATTAAGTACTAGCTGGTCTAATATCCCTAGCAAATCTGTCAGCAAACTTTCTCAAAGGTGCTGAAGTTGCTTTTTTTCTTCCCATCCTTCTTCAAATGACAGGTAAATGAAGTGTTGTTTGAACCAGTACGTAAAACTCAAGATGCTGAGTTTTTTATTAAGACTAGTGATGGGTTGTGGGTGCCTTGTGGACCTAGACAACCAGGTGCCATTCAGACTAATATGCAGGAGCTTGCAGCAAAAGGCCTAGCTTCAAAGGTAATAACATAGACTGCTTCTGGCAGATCTGCTGACTACATTCTTATATTAGCTGTGGCCATGCCTTATATGATGCGGCATGTTTCTTGCCGTGGGTATTCACCAAATGAACTGCATAGAACATGCAATTGAAATTTGTGTCATACTTAACACTGCAGATGCGATGATCTCACAACAAGATTACACCGAGACATAGCTAAAGCCGAAATAGTTTTTCTAGATATCAGTAGTCTTCCTTGCTAGACTTGGTTTAATTTTTACTCCCACATAAGAGTTATTTCTGTGGATAGTTTTTGTATTCAGATAGGACATTAAAACAGCCACTTCCTCATTGTGAAGCTCTTAAACGAGGATATTATACTTCTATGTGGCAATTGAATGGGCAGCGTATCCCTTGTATTATTTCTTGACTTAAGAGTTTTGAACCTCCTGATATTTATGATAAGCATGTCCTACTTTAAGTCAGCGCAGACTCATCTTTCCCACATTATTATTCTCTGTCAAGTGAATTGTTCTTCTGAATAGCTTTCTCTCTAGAATTTTTTTTAGGACAAACTTTTTCCTAGTCCAAGTGTGGTTGTTTGTTGATACCAAATATTGATTGGTACTCTTGCAGATTACACCACCACCAATCAGCATAAGGGATTTTGACAGAGTTCTATGGAAACAGAAGCCAACAGTAAGCAAAGCAGATCTTGAGGTGCATGAGAGATTCACGAAGGAGTTCGGTGAGGAAGGATGAAGGATCTTTGGTTTGCTATACAACTATGTAACTATTATAGCCATGAAATATTTCAGATTTAGTCATCACTTCAATAAAACCTATCAGTGTGTGATAATGGGTAATAATCAGTCTTGGTCCTTAATTTAAGGACCATTGAGCTGATGTTTAGTGATTACTGTTTTTGCTTTGTACAGCTCGATATTAGTTTCTACGAAAGCATTTTATGAAATTTTACATGTTAAAACCATCTTACACTGGTAAAGTATTATCAATATCTATGATGGAATGAAAGAAATGTTGTTTTTGCGTTAACAAGCAACATTGTATGTTCCTTTTCCCGTCTTTCTCTTTCGTTGGTCAGCTCTTTACCTGTTGTTCTCCCTATAATGTGAGATTGAAACATTCAGGTTAGATGTTTTGATGATTTGAGTTCAGTAATCTTCCCTCGGGAGATTGCCATTCATCGATATTTCTTGTTATGGATCTCTACACACGTTTGAAGATGTGTTATTAGCAGTTTTTTTGTGATGATGCCTCTCTTAGGATTTCCACTTTTTCCTGGAAAATGACTACTGTCATACCAGACACACCTGTTTACTTTATGTTTTGAGGAATGAACTTTTTGAATCATTGAGCAGTATTCATATTAGTACCAGAAAAGATGGAAGAAGATAAAGAGGTGAATCATTTGCAGTTCTGCATGTGTGTTTCTCCATTCAAAAATATCATTTCACACTGACTATATCATTTAAGCAGCAAATGAGCTGATCTCTATGTAACAATTAAACTGGTCAATCCGTATCGGGTGTTTACACTAAATCAAACTTAACTTCATCTAGTCTCTTTTCTACAATATTATCTAGTTGTTCCTGGTCGTCCTTTGCTGTATTTCGGAGGATTCGTCTTAGCAACATCAACTGTTATCATCCAGCCATTGATAATCTGTGTACATAAAATCAACAAACTTATCATTTCTGTTGGAACAAATGATCTTTGTGGAAGTAAATAGGCAGAGTGTTCCAAAATTACCTTGCCATTCATCTCTTTGAGAGCAGCACTTGCTGCCTCCAGTGTTGTGTACTCGATAAACGCATAACCTTTCGACCTCTTAGAAATTTTGTCCATGATGATTTTAACTGTTAGGAGAAAGAGAGATTTATGAGCAATTTTTCTTCTTACAACTATATTATGAAGCAGAACAATCTTCAGATAACAATTATAACACCTTCAACAAGTTCACCATAGCCTTCAAATGCTGCACGTAGCGTTTTCTCAGACGTATAGAATGACAAACCTGTCCAGAAAAAGTGTATTGCAAATAGTTAGGTCATAAAAGAAACCACTTTGGAAGCAAGGTAATATCTAGAGCTAAATGGAAACGGACTAATCGCGATCAAACTAGCAAAATAAAATAGAATGGAATAGAAATCGGAGCTCTAAATGATTCATTTAGGACTCAAAAGCAAGGACTTTGCTGTTCTTATAGATCTAATCATTGAAATTCCATACAATAAAATGGTATAATTATATAAGACATAAAAGCAACACTTCTGGAGGTGGATTTACACTTGCAACTTACCAGTCACAAAAAGCTTCTTCGTTCTAACATCGGTTTCCTCCTTTGATGCTGTAGATTCCTGGGAATCTACACTCAGCTTCAAATTCCCACCTGAGATGAACCAATAACCATGATTAATCAAACTTCACGAAATGGAGATATTGCACGTAACAGCAGAAGATAATACTACTTTAATTGATTTTCTTTCGGAGAGAAAATATAACATCAGTATCTTTACTTTTCATCCTTTATAAAACTAGTCAATAGAAAGTGATACTCCTCTTCGTTTCAATTTACTTGTCTTATTTCCTTGTTCATCCGGTTCAAAAAGAATGTCTCTTTCCTTTCCAAGAAACTCTTTAATACAAACTTTCCATATGGCATGTTTAAGATCACAAGATTAAAGGTCATTCAAATACATTCTATAGCGTTAGTTGAATTAATCCTGATATACTAGATCCTTTTTTGCTCGAATGATTTTCTGATATAGAACATTACTATGTCAAGATAGAGAAAAAGTAATTTTATGACATTTCACAGTTATGGCTTTCATTTTGATATTATTCTATTCTAGTCGACTCAATCCTCAACATGAGAAATGTAGCATTCGACAGGTTAAAGTCGGATATGATCTCAAACCTCCATAGTCTTTATTGTCCGAATCAAAATTTTCATCTGGCTGAACAGATAGAACACCAGGCACTCCTGCGATAGTACATCAAGACATTTACTGGTACTGTAAAAAGTTTACTGATTACATATTACAGGTAAGATTACTACTAGTATGACATGATATTCTCACCAGCTAATTCTTGAGCACACGCCTCATCTAATTCGCAACAAAATCCATAATTGGCTTGCCAGGACACATGATATAAGCACATCTGTGCATCCTTCTCACTATCGAGAAACCAATCATTCCTTTAGCAACCTGTAAATGATGAAGAGGAAATAGCAACATATCGACACTCGGAAACAAATACTTACTTCCCAAGAACTTTGGTTAGAACTTGAACGTAATAGTCAACCATTGGGCCTTTTCTTATGACTCCAACAGATGGCCTGGCCATACGAACAAGCCAGTGTTTAGAAGTCCCAGGCGGAAATAATGAAGAGCCTTCCGTGTATGAAGTTGATGGGGAACTTAGCTGACCATTTGTGTAGCTATAGTCTTTCACCATCGAGTCAAAATCAGGGTCAGGTATAACTGATAGTACCCCAGGCATACCTATTATCCAAAAATGTACAAATATGGAGAAGGAAAAGCTTCAGACAAAATCCAAAACATATATTAGAATTTCACAATTAGTATCCACTGCGCCTGAATTAAGGGGCACAAACAATGCCTTCAATCTTGACTGATATATAGAGGAGGCAATGCAAGAAAACAGACAAAAAATTTACCGGCAATCTCATCAGCTACCGCATCATCAATGTCGCAACAGAACCCATATGGGGGATTGCAAGAGGCATTATATATACACATTTGAGCATCCTCCTCACTGTTTCATGAAGAACAGATAGTTGCTAAAAATCAGCACCAACTCACAGTGAAACATAACGAACGGTAAAGCCTATGCTCTTCTGAAGTTAATTCTACATGATGAAATATCACAATTATACTCGAGAAACACTACAGTAGAGACAAGGATGAGATGATTTATTATTCACAGCTTGATTCCAGAATTAAATGCAAGGTAAGTTCTATAGAGCAATTATATTACCAAGAAGAGTGACGTTGGGCTACTAAAATCCTACACACCCACAAGATGAGTGTCACAAAGATGTGATTGATAAGATGGATGTGCGGTAATACAAGATAAGAATAAGATCTCTCTAGGCGATATCAATAATAGCCTATCTGGACAAGCTTCCAAAATCTGCAGCACAACATGTAAATGCTCCCATTGTACATCCTATAAGTATAAGCAGTCAGTTTGGTTGGCTAACAATTGCACACTTCAAATTACAAGCTGCCAATTGCATTTGACAATAGTTACCTAAAACAACAACCAAAAGGAAGAAATAGTTCCACAAAGGCATAATACATAAATAAGCATTTTAACTTGGCCTCAGCGAGCATCTACGCCCTCCAACTCTGAGTGTGCACAAATAAGCACTTAAACTTATACAAAGTTGAACAAGTTGACACATACGTTCTATACAAGCTTAGGTGCCTACTTACGCACATTTGGAGGGTGTGTATGCCAACTGAGGCAAAGTTAAAACAACACATTTATACATTATGACCTCACAGAATTTCCAAGTTTTATCACATATTCTACTTATCATATAAGCACTAACTACAAACTTATTAAAACACATAAAAAAATGATTTTTTTTCAAGATAATGAAACATACTGACCTGCCTAATACTCTTTCAAGGGTCTCAACATAGTAATCAATAACCTCAATTTTGGAACTGACCCCATTGGGAGGGGTTTCCATGAGAACCATCCAGTGGCTTTGAGTTGAAGTAGAATTGGGCAAAGATGGATAAATGGATGTAATAGATGAAGAAGAAGCTGTTATTGAAGTTGCCCTGTTTCTTGAAATCACACAAGTACAACAAAATTCAGAAGAAAAGAGACTTCTTGATGATTTATCAGGCAAAATTAGGGTGAATTTGAAATGGGGTTTTAGGGTTTTAGCTGATAATGTAGAGATTATGGAGAGTGCAGAAGAAGATGAGTGAGGGAGTGTCACTTCCATGGCTCACTTTGCTGTATCAAGAAATGATAAAATGAGGATATTTCAATGGAGGAACATTAAAGATTTAAAAATCTTAAATTATAAAAAGCATAAACAGTTTTATAAGACTTACGTCCAAAATATATTTAAATTTTCATATAAGGCTTATGAAATAATTATTACATAAATTATGTTTTAGATTTTATTTAATATCCAATGCTCGAGACTCGTCAAACAATTCTTATATAAATTTTATGTTAAATTCTTTAGTCAATTTTATTGACGCTCATGATTCAATAATTTAAATGATTAAGTTGTAATTGTATATTTACTATTTGAGAAAAATTGTGAGATTGAGTATTACTTAACATTACTTTTTTGGAAGACATACTATATAGCTAAATTTTACATCTTTACTTGTCATTAAATCATTATGTTTTTGTTTAATATCTTAAAATTATCATATTTTTTTATTTTTTTATTAGAATGTAATTTTGCTTATATTCATAAAGAAGTGATGTTTTAATTATAATATTGATAAAGTTTATTAATTATTTTCATAAAGGTAAATTGTATAGTACGATAGTAATATATTTTTAAAAAATTGTGATTCTTTTTTAGAGGTAAAACGCTAGAGTTGATTTACATCTCGTAATAATATTTATTCCATTATATTATTTATAATACAATTGGTGGTACGTTATTACAAGTGTTGATTGACAATGATAATTGACAATAATAATGATTTTAATCGTGAATATTGATTAATAATAATGATGATTGATGATGAATTATATAATAAAAAATTGTGAATATGATTGCTAATGATAATTCACGATATATGATTATAAAAATCGAATTTTTTTTTTGGAAAGGTTTGTCTTTGAGTCTGGATTATTTAGCAAATAATAAACTACCAGTAATGAAGAATTAAGAAAATTAGAGAAATAAAATCCTACAATTAACCATACAATATTAAAATATATCCTAACTTACATTATTAAATTAATGAAACAACTACTTTCACAGAATGTGCAAAAGAAAATTATATATAATCAAAGTCCATCCACCAACTTGTGCTTAATTAGCAACAATCTTGGCCGTTTGATCAACCAAATTATGGATCAAATGGTTCATATTAATTCTCCTTAATTAATTAATTAATTAATTAATCAGATTTTGTGTAGCTTTTCAGCCTTAACCAATGGATTAGCCATGGCAATTGCCACCTTTCCCATTGACTTATAGTCAAAGGTGCAACCATGATGCTCAGGGTACCTATGTGAACCACAAAATGTGACCCCACACCTACACTTGAAACCCGTTAAACCGACCCGTTTCCGACACGTGGCACAACGATTTGACTGCACTTGAGGAGCTTGATCAGCTACATCATTCAATTGTGTATGCACCTGAGGAACCTCAGCTACAGTATCCGACTGCACCTGAGGAACCTCAGCTGCAGTATCTGACTGCACATGAGGAGCCCTAGTTGCAATCTCCGTCTCTCGTGGTTGTGAGACTTCAAGAATTGATAACGGCTCTGTACATGGTATGTACGCAGACGTTGATTCAGATTGTTGTTGTTGTTGTTGTTGGTGACGAGTCTTTTCCATTGCGAGCTGAGCGGTTCGCGATTGTTCTTCTTTCATGCAATGATCCTTGTAGCATTTGGAACAAAGGTTCAAAGTTGTAGGGCTACCAAAGAAACCACAATTATTAGCACATAGCCTATGTCCTCCTCCTTCTTGCATCCTTTGTTCTTCCGCCATCTTTTTTTTCTTTCAAACAAACTGCGATTCTTAACTCAACGAATTTATATATGGATGTGAGCGATCGACTTATTTCAAATCAATCGCTCAATTCCCAAAAACAAGATTCGTTACGTACCTTATACCTGTAAACAAAACAACAATATAATTGAACGAAAATATACTTATAAATAAATCAAGAAATCAAATCAAAGATATGAACCAAACGTTAAAATACTTCAAAATTGAAAATGTGTGTACGTGAATAAGCAAAGCAAATAAATAGGAGAAAATTATGCTCTTTGGAGAAAGGAAATTAACGGTAATGAATTATTAATAGATGCTTAAATATTAATTGTGGAATTTAGAAGACTTTTGGTGGTTGGTATAATTGGAAATTAAATAATAAAAAAGAAAAAAAGTGAATATAAATAATAAAAATAAATTATATAAAGGAAACTTTGGTGTTACTTGGTATTGCCGTTTTAGAAAGATTCTTGGAAATGATAAAAGTTTAGAGAAAGGGTCATTTCATAAATATATATTTTATCGTTTATTTCGAATGTTTACGTCAAATCAAATCAAATAACTTAATTTTAAATTAATAAATAAAATTAAGAATAATTATATCATTTTAATTGAAATATTTGATAGTTTGTTTAGTTAAATTTTTGTAAATCGTTTAGAACAAAATGTAACAACTGTATATATGACTAATTAATTTTAAAAGCACTTTTAACTGCGTTAGAGTAACAATTTGTATTTGACAAATAATTTGTTATGTATCACATAACTTAAATTTGAATCTATAAGTAATAATTGTGTGTACATTTTATATTATATGACTAATTAATTTTAAAAGCACTTTTAACTGCGTTAGAGTAACAAATTGTATTTGACAAATAATTTGTTATGTATCACGTAACTTAAATTTGAATCGATAAGTAATAATTGTGTGTACATTTTATATCATATGATTCAGTGTAAATATCGATATAGATAAATTTTAATAATTATTCGAATGATTAGATTTATGACAAATAATTTTTTTTTATAAGAATCATTCGAAGTCGTTGATGCTACGTTAAGGAGACCATTTCTTTTGTTTTTTTGCTTTGGGTTTACGTTTTGTGTTTTACTAATATTCTTTAATTGCCTAATTATATGTTCTAAAATGGCTGCTAAAAAAATTATAAAATATTCTCCATTTGAATTTAAAATAGAGGTCTTTTATTGTGTTGATTAAGACTTTTATTGGTTATTTAATTGTTTTTTTTTCTATTAAAGTTTGGGAGTTGAAAAATTGCGTATTTAGTTAATTGAAAAAAAAAGAATTATTTTTTTCGTCTCAATTTATATGACATTGATCGGATTAAAGAATCGATCTTCTTTATTTTGATGTGCATTCGAAAATACAATCTCTAAAGTTTTTTACAAATATTTTACATATTTAGAAACTACAAAAAAGGTACTATAAATTATAATAGTAAAAGTTTAAAATCTTTAAAAAAATTATATGATATAAAAGATTATTTGACTCTCGAAATTTGAACAGTATATGCTGATTGAGACAGGGAATAGTAATTTTATTTTCAAGGAAAAAAAAAAGAAGAAGAAGATTCCAAACTTAATTTCAAGAAAATAACTCTATAATTTATGATTAAAAGAATTTTATTCAATTTTTTATATTCTTAAATTAAAAGGCTTTATTGCATAAATATATATGATTCTTTGAATCTCGAAAAAAAAAAATAGTTGGTGTTAATATTATTCATACTTTATCTTTAATCAAACTCAAAGGACTCTCTCTCATAATAATGATACAAAAGAAGGAATATATTAATTCTCTTAATAAAAATAATAATGTTAATTCTCTTAATATTTGCTATTTTCTCTATTTCTCTTCCATTTTAAACCCAAAAAAAAATTAAAAAAATCTTCCCTTTCATTTCAATCCAAATAGTTACAATTACACAAGGTATAGAACATTTACAATATTCATTTTATAAATATTATTTTTATGGACGAGCCAGAAATTTACAAAACAGATTCAAAAAATAAAAAACACTAGTTAAAATGTCATATCTCAAATCCTAGCATGTGACCTTTGCGAGTTTCTCATTTTGTCACTCAACTATACAATCTTCTCTTATATCAACAGAATTCATCACCGAAAAAATTGTCTTATATTTATGCTAGAAGCGGCGTTTCCATGCTTTCTCCGTTTTCTTCATGTGTTGATGGTGCTTCTGGTAGTATCCAAGCAAAATAAAATGCCATCGCCTAACACATCGCGTCTCTAGAGTTAAAAATCTCAAAAATGTTTCATAGCAAGGCGATATAATGCATGTCTAACCATTGGCGAATCCAAGAATAGTGTCAAATCTTATGTACATTTACTACTTTGCATAATCCCAAAAGCAATGGGTTCAGTTGAACACTCGTTAACTATAACACGCGATCTCGATATCTAACATGATTAAAATGTGTGAGAAAGTTTACCAAAGCAAAAGCTGCACAGATCAAGCTGAAACCTTTGCAGTTGAAAGGTGCATTGCTAGACAAGAACCAAGCTGCAACAATATCAACCCAAACAAGATTCGATTGAAGAATGAAATCGAGTCAAGACAAGATCTTCGATAAGAAAGAAAGAAAGAAAGAAAGACACGTTTTTTTACTTACAGGTCAATGGACTCATTACAAGAGGGGCTAGAAAACTTCCAATTGCTTCTGCACCAGCAACTACTCCTTGAGTTTTGCCCTGTCACGTAAAGAACAGCAATCGACTGAACTTTTCTAATAAACGTATCTTCAAGTATGTTTCGTGGTGACTAAGAAATGTATCTTCAATAGACTTTTGTTAGTTCATACTCAACGGGACAGACATTTTGTTTAAGCAGCGTGTATCAGAGATGTTAGACCGATAGTTGCAGTTTACTAACCTGATCAGATGAGCTTGATGCTTTAGATACAAGAGCATTAGTCTGTGATGAACAAAAATAACCAGAAAAAGGCGAGATTATCAATAAAACATCATTGCACGATGTTTTAAAATGTCGTAAACAACACATTTTTTGATGTACTACTTACAGAAGGGCGCTCTAGTATATAAACCATCCGAAATAAAGCACCAAAGTAAGGCACCTGTAACAGAATGAACGAGCTTCAAAGTCAAAATCATGTCATCTGACAATCTTTTAGCCGAAAAAGCTATTAGAGGAGGCAATACGTAACCCCATTGGAGTACTGGAAGGAGATAAATGTCTACTTCACCTAACAATGTAAGAATTCATCAACGTTCTTCTATCTCGTATTCTTATGCAATAGTAAAGAGTACTGAATTCAGCTGCTCTTAAGTTAAATAAAATCATCAAATTAATGCTTCCTTTGATTTTCCGATACACACTGTGTGGATACTTTGCCAGGGATAAAGAAACTTTAAGGACAGCAATTTACATAAAAGCAGGTGGTAGATTCGAGATTACATACCCACGATGCCCATGCTAAGCCGTAAAGCAATGCCTGTTCATATATATAACGTAAGGATAGACGCTTTTAGCAAGCAGTTTAAGTGTAAATAAGTCATAAAATGAGTTAGTTAACTCAACTTACGTATGTGATTGATGCAAGCAAGGCGATTCTGAGTACCACTCTTTCTCCAACTAATGGGTTGACTAGAGGAAAAACCAGCATCTTGAAAGAAGTTCACGATTCACAGGCAACAAAATAATCAAATTACTAAATAGTCAGTTAAATCAAATAAGAAGGTTTCATACTAAAACGAGGAAATGGACTTCTGTCACTCACATAAAGAGACGGAGAATCTTAAGGGTTGTTTGGTAGAGTGTATAAGAACAGTACTGAATGTAATGTATCAGTAATAACGATGAATAGAGTGTATATTAGATTCTCTAACACATTCTACCAAACGAACCTTTATGCAGGTTCCAGATATAACAGCTGCAAAGACTAGTATTCGTAAAACAGAAAACAGGTCTAGAATCTCTGTGAAGAATACCTGAGTGATAATTGAACCTACTCCCACCATCATCAGAATTTCCGAGAATTGGTTTTTGTTGAAATCAAATGCTGACTTCAGATAGTACTGTAAAATCAGGAAGATATTCCGATGAGTTCTTAGTTTCGCTTACAAAAACATTCGAATATTCAGACTTAAGTAATTGCAATTTTAGATGAAAACACAATTTTACCATTAATACACTGCTGATACCAGACATTCCCATGTCATAGAAGAACGAAACAAGACAAATGCACTTGAGAGTTGAACTGTGGAGGAAAAACAAACGAATCATTTAGGAATATGAACGAGGACTTATTTTCCGAAACCAAGGTCTCCATATGAAAAAAGAAAAAGAAATTTTGAATCATGCTCCTATCCCAGAGAAAAGACGAAAGTACGATATGGAAGAAACTCAAATAAAACAACTGTAAGACCTGCTTGTTACCACATGTAATGCGTATCTCATTGAGCTATACCGATCCTGAACAAGTTGGTATGCCTTGCTTGACCAACGTAAATGTTGGTTAACGTCTGGAGTTAACTTAACTGTCTCGGTAAGAAAGATTAGCATGTACATTGGAGCAATGATCAAAAGTGCCACCGAAACCTGAAATATGACACTTCAATATGGAGAAATTAAAGCAACTGCAGAAAAAAGTGAAATCAAACACACATGCCTCGAATATGTAGGTTCCAGGAAGTAAACGAGCAAGAAAGTTTCCCAAAACATGCGATAAAGATAAAATTCCATGCATCCAACCGAAAGCTGCAGCCCTGCTTCTACCATCAAGAATATCTGCCTGCATACGAAAAAATTCTGTTGTTTATATATAGACTTCAGACCGCATTCGAGACAGGATCTAGGATAGATATCTTACTGCATAAGCTGCAGAAATGCAGAAAATACTTCCTTGACTCATGATATGAGAAATCATCCGCAGCACATAATAAGCATAGACAAATCCTTTCGACTCGTCTATAGCCAATATAGCTGAAACAAAGAAAAGAGATCATTAATAGCACTACGGAAACATTTTAAAGAATCACAGAAGCATGAAGTTATACAAATTTGGTGGCTACGATACATCAAAGAGATACGAAAGAGTATATCTGTGAATTTCTTCGATGCTTCGATTCAACAACTAATGCTACACAATAGCTCGGGCAATGGTCATGCAAGCTAATGCAAAAGGTTATATGACAGCGAGTTGTAATTGTTTCTACCTTTCAATTAGAAGCTTATCAAAGTAAAAGTTAAGAAGAAAAAGCATACCACTGGGAAAAATAGCAGTAGATACGATTAAAAGAAGTAGAGGTTTACGCCCGTACTCATCAGCTAGTTGACCAAGGACTGGAATGACAACCATTTTGCAAATTCCAACCACCTACAGTTGCAGAGATATGCATAAAACTTGATGAAACAGTCCATCGGAACGAATAAAGAGGACGGATAAAGTAAGCTACATACTAATCATGCTGATCTTAACAAGTAACAGTGTCTGTGCATTTCAAAGGCCTGAACCTATATAACTTGATCACGTTCTTTGAAAATCGTCATTTCTTTATTAATCTTTTCGCCATTCACGTATAACTCTTAGTCAAGGAATGGTCCTATAAGAAACGGAGTCGAGCTACTATGCCAGACAAAACTCATCAAAATATTGAAGTAAAATTGTGTATAGCAAATCAGAGAACCTTTACAAGCCATAGTGTACAATCCACTAAAAAATGCAATGGAGGAATTACTCAAAATATATAACCTACTCATGACTTAACCAAATAGATGAATGAGAGCGCTGACGATACAATACAATGTAACTAAAAATGTGTTCTCTGTAACAATTTAAGCTTTTAAACGAAATGGTCACACAATCAAAACTCCTCCCGTAACTAATTATTCTACAAATGCAACATCCAACAAATTGTGTAAAGCATAAGAAGAGGCACATATGTTTAATTCTTAGTCACACCCCCTATCAAGATGAATTTGCAGGGCATATTGACATATAATGAATTAAACAAAAGCACCCAAGGATGTTTGCTTGCGTTCTTCACCAGCGTTCGCCAGATGTATCACTCATCCCGCTCCCCACCGAGCGATAAAGGGTCTTCTTATGTGTTATAATCTTTACAGGAATGAATAACATATGTTGGTTGAGAATTGCTCGAAAAATTCATTGATAATGACTTTGTCAGGTTCTAAGGAGGCTACTCTTCTTTTTTGTCAATCGAATCGTTTTCCCTCATTTCACTTGTCCATCCCTCTTGACGAACTAGTACAATCGATACCACAAAGATAGCCAACACTAATATCAAAGAAAAGGGGCAATAATTTGGCACCAGATATACGTAAGGTACGAAAAGAGCAGCTATGAGAAGCGGAAAAACCATTAAAAAAAACAATTATAGTTCATGGAGGTTTCTACATAAAGACCCCTTGATACTAGCAAACAGATCACAATTACAGGTACCTAGGAGCACACCGATGAAATGAATGAAATACGAACAATTAACATAATATCATAATATCGCCTAATGGTCAATGAAGTGATTGGGAACCACGAGGTCCCAATTTCAAAATTTAGCAAAAGACAAAAAAACACCAGGTATACTTATCCTAGCCTTGATGAATAAAGTTAACTGTTGTCAGTGGGACGCGACAGGTATATATATATATATATATTAGTCGAGATGTACACAAACTGACTCAAACACCGTCAACAATCAAATTAATATAGAGGACAAGAGATAAAAAAAAAAGTACCATTTGTTGAAGACCATTGATGTAAATAGCTTGAGAGCAAGTGGATTTTGAAGGGCAAAGAGCATTAGTAGTAATATCAGCAATAATAGACACAGACATCTCTTCAGCAGTCCAATAAATACATAATGGTAACAGTAAATGCATAATTATTTTCAATTGTTCTCTACTTATATTACCCTCCATTTTTTTTGATTTTTTTTCTCCACAAATCTCAATTGCTCAAAAAAATTAAAAAAAAAATTCTTAACAAAAAAAAAGTATATAGAAATTAGAACAATATATGAAGTTAGAAAAATGGAAAGATGAGATAATGACAAATTAGTTAAAAGGCATGAAGCTTGACTTTTGGTATGGCAAGTTGTATATTACATGCGGTTGAATAAAATAATATTGTGTCCGTTTTAATTTACGTGATATTTTTTTGAACTTTGAAATTTAAATAAATTTATTTTTCGAATTGTCAATCATTTCAAAAGAAAAAAATTGAAGATTTCACGAGTGAAATTTTTTGTCAAACTTAAATGATTTGATCCTTAAAAAACGAAAAATGTGACATAAATTCATACAGTGGAACCATTTTTTATTCAACCAATAAAATAATACTCCGCTATATTGGCTCAATGGTAATGACTTTTTAGACCAGTTTTTTTTTTTTTAATTAATAATGAGTTGATTAAAAGGTAATAATCCTATTTTTGGGAGAAAATAATATTTCTTTTTCTCACTTACCATTTTTGTAAAAATAAATAAATTATTTCTCTTGTTTTTGGAGTGGTCTTTAATTTGCCCTAAAGTAGGTGGTATTTTATTATTTTTTATAGTTTACTTTTAAAATTCAATTTAATTAATTTGAAGCTAAATTGAACTAATATTTTGAAAAATAATTTAAACAACTAAAAAATGATATAAAAAGTATTATAAGTTGTAATGTTTTTGGTATCAATAGATTAAAACAATATCTTATATATTTTATTTTATTTGTCTTACTTTTCTCTTAAATTATATTTAAAAATATATATCTTTTTCATTTATTTATAACTCTTTGCTTCTAATTTTTCATTATTATCATTACTAAATGGCAAAGGAAAAAACTTTCTATATCTTGAATATTTAATTGCATGAAATTGATACTTTTTAATAAAGAAAACTACTTTTGAAAGTTACGTGGAGTTTGGACTTTTGTGTGTTCTTGGTTATTAAGTCATTTAGATTTAATAAAGTAAAATATATTATTTTTATTAATTACAATTAAATAAAATAAAAAACACTATTCAAACAAACAACATTTATATATTAATTAAGCGTAAATATCATAGACTTCTACGTGAAATCATACTTGTTATTTGCATGGAGTTGATAACACGTATTTACACAAATTAAAAAAATAAAATCAGATGATCTGACGTAATATATAATCGTGACGTACGCTTAACTCACGCATCGAGCTCATTCTTAGAATGGTAAAAAGCAAGTTGTTGAATTCACTAATATAATGTGCATAACCCCAATATCATATATACAAAAATACAAAGTACAAACCAACATTTATCATTTAGACTAAAAAAATGAAGTGATACATTGAAGAGCTACAAATTTTAATACAAGATGAATAATACACTTCTTTCTAATCTAAGATCAGACTTAGCTTCATAAGATTTACAACTCTATCGTACGTAGATCGTAGACCGGACTTATTATCGCTGTATAAAGGGACATCCTCGGGTGCCTATAGCATAGAGAATTTTGGTAAAATGGTCACCAACGTCTCAAAAGTATCATGTCAAAAGTGGTGCTTCTATGTTCTCTGCAATTTCATCGAAGGTTCTCTCTCGTGGTGCCTCAACTTTTAGCGTGCTAGCATAACACAGTGAAACGACCTGATAGAGTTTGTTCAAGTTAAGGATTTAACATCAACAAGTATATGACAGATGAAGAAATCGCGGAAAAGAAGGGAAAAAACAGCTTACCATGCATAAAGAAGCACAGAGTATACTGAATCCTTTGCAGTTGAAAGGTGCATCGCGGGATAAAAACCATGCTGGATGAACGTTGTGTCAGTGATTAAACGCGGTTTGATTTAGATGCATCTAGAGTTATTCGTGTTTAAGTGAATAGAAGATGACTTACAGGTCAATGGACTCATTACAATTGGAGATAACAAACTCGCGACTGATTGAATACCAGCAACAAAGCCCTGTGCTTTGCCCTGTAATAGGAATGAGAGGACAGCACGTCAGCACGTAATTATAAAGTAAAGTAGGCGAAAATGGGACTCTCGTAACATATCATCTTAAGCTTGCTAGCTAGCTACAACTACAAGTAAGGTAGATCTCGGACAAAAAACACTGATTTGAGTTAATCCACGCGGAGTTTCCTAAATTAACATCTTCTTGCCGTGTCAAAGCTGAGGCAGGTCATTTTATTACCTTTTATTTTCCAGGACTTCGACGTGTATTAGCAGAGATGCATGAAGAATACTATGCTAAAAGACTAAAATCGCATGATTTCACTAACCTGATCTGCTGAAAGTGCTGCTTTAGATATTACAGCATAAGTCTGTTGAGAAAGTAAAAGGATACGGGATTATCAAGAAGAAAATCCGCAAGTATTAAGCTCTTCAACGTAATATGAAATCATGAATGAAGTTCGGAGAAATTACTCACAGAAGGTTTAACGAGGATGTAGATGACCCCAAAAGAAGCACTTAAATATGGCACCTGTATTAACAAAGACAGTCAAAAATGATACTTGATGCTCGGTATCAACAAGACGAGAAAGGGTTATCGAAGCAGCTAAAATTTTGAGGAAAGGGAAGGAGTTGGAAATGAGTATGAACTGACACGTATTCTTTTAGAGCAGAAGTAAAATGTTAAAACAGTTGTTGTTATATGCAATTAGTTACCCACACGAAAGAGTTTGGTCTATTAGTGCATTTGAAATGCGACTTTCATTCATATCCTTTCGTGTTATTTTCTTCTTCTCTTATCAAAAGCAATTTGCTTATGTTGTAAAACGCTACTAAAAAGAAGAGGATATGCATAGATATGACCCTCACGGAACAATTAAGCATTCATTATCATCATTCTCTCATTTTTAAGAGTCGGAATTCTGTTTTAAGTAATTAGTAACGTACCCAAGGTGCCCATGCTAATCCATAGAGCATTGCCTGCAAAACGAAGTGCGGTATGAGGTTAATTTTCCTTCAAAATAAACGTCTGCTCCGTTACAAAATTAATCAAGGGAACTTACATAGGCTATTGATGAAAGCAAGGCCAGACAAAGTATCACTTTCTCCCCAAAAAGAGGATTGATAAGAGGAAGCACCACAATCTGGAAAAATGTAAGTAAAACAAAATAGAAATTACACTACTATATTTATATATGTACCGTCACCCCAGAACGCACCCAGAACACGCACTCACGTGCAGATATGAAATAGTCTATTAAAGATATATAGCCAGAATGGCTTCAATATAGCTGTCCAACAAACTCGAGGTTCAAAATTCTGTATACCTGTGAGACTATGGAACCTACTCCCACCATCATCAAAATTTCTGAGAACTGATTTTTGTTGAAGCCAAAAGCCGATTTCAAATAGTACTGCATAATTAAGAATAACAAATATAAGTCTCCAATCAATGTAGACAAAGTCGGAATTCACACTGTAATCCCTTGAAAAGGTAACAAGAACTCATCATTGTACTAATATTTTGGTGATTCTGAAGGACGGAACAAATATGGGAGAAACGTTGTTTGATTCAAAGGAGCAGGTGGCATACCAGCAAAACACCGCTGATGCCGGACATTCCCAACTCGTAGAAGAATGATACAAGAGAAATGCACTTCAGTGTTGGGCTGCGGAGAACAATAAAATGTCGTTTAGAAAATACACGCAAGTTATTCAGAATCTATCTTTATGTGCTCCAAATCAACATGTGCTAGTAGAATCTGAAATGTAATGAATGACACGTGCAAAATTACCTGCTAGTGACCAGATTTGCAGCATATCTCATTGAGTTATATCGTTCCTGGACAATCTTAAGTGTATTGCTCTTTAGTGTCGAACTTCGGGTCACCTCTGTTTTTGGTGATACAGTCTCTTCTAGAAACAGTGTCATATAAACAGGAACAAAGATCAAGAGACCTATTGAAACCTGAAGGAGGAAAGTTCATTAGGATGGACGCGCTAAGCAAGAATAATAGAAACATGGTTCACAAAATTGGTCTAGCTATAACACCAACATGCCTGGAAAATGTAGCCCACGGGAAGAAAACGTGCGAGGACATTCCCGAGAACATGGGATGCAGAAAAAAGGCCAGTAATCCAACTAAAAACTGCAGCTCTACTACTCACGTCAACTACATCTGCCTGAAAACCAAAAGAAAATCCGCAGTTAGATTCTTGATAAATAACGCAGGCTTAATGTTGTCAGCAAATTACAAAATGGAAGTCCTACCGCATAAGCAACAGAGATACAGAAAATGCTCCCTTGACTTATGATATAGGAAATCGTCCGCAAGACATAATAAGCATAGACCATTTCCCTTGACTTATTGATGGTGAGTAAACCTGGAAGGTGAAAAGAGAGACAGCAAGAATGAGCATTAATAAGCATGACAACCAACTAGTTATACATAGAACAACAACAACAAACCCAGTGTAATCCCACAAGTGGAGTCTGGGGAGGGTAGAGCATAAGTAGACCTTACCCCTACCGTTGAGAAGGTAGAGAGGCTGTTTCCGAAAGACCGTCAGCTGAACAAACAGTGATATAAATGCACTTTAAAGTTAAGTCAAAATGCTAATGTCAGACGTTCCCCAGTAAGCATAATCGCCTAAATCAGGAAAAGATTAGTAAATTATAGAACATGGGATAGTTGACTAGTTGGCCCTGATGATCAAGTTCAGTTCTCTTTTAGTTTAAGTACATTAGAAATTATCTCTGTAATTTAGAAACATATTTTCCTTTGGTCAAATTTCCACTCCACTCAATCCCGTCGAGAAACAATTAGAAAAAAGAGAATACAGAAAAAGTCCATGTCACACTATCAAGTGGGAAGCACACTTCAGAAGATATAGAAATTACCAACATGTTTACTGATGATTCTAGCATTACGTACCGAAAGGAATAATTGTTGTAGATACAGTGAGAATAAGAAGCGGTTTACGCCCATACTCATCTGCAAGCTGACCTAGGATAGGAAGGACTATCATCTTGAATATTCCAACGACCTGCGTGTAGAAAACATTCATTAATGTTATAGAACAGCAAAAAAGCCATAGGATGGGTGCTGCACTTTCTGTAAAAGAATTTTGCACACTGCTGGTTACACAAAGCTAAAGGCATCATGGGAAAATCTATGTAAACACTAATCAAGAATCACAATAATGTTCTTCTACTTAAACACTGACAAAAAAAGAAGATGTAACTGAATAGTTCAATGCTGAACAAAATCATTACCACCATCCCGACAAGATAAATTATAATTTCATACAACTAATGTTAGTATCTACTTCAACAAAAAGTCCACTAAGGAAACAAGTGCCTTTCTTTTACATAACAAGCTCCTTACTCAGTCCAGGTGCAAGATTTCCTTTTTTTTCCAAATGTTCAATCACTGTCCTACTTCCAAATCCAAATAACGGAATCAATAAGCACTCAAACAAAACGAAACAATTAAATTAGGTGACCATCACATCTAAAAGCTTCAGTTTTTAAAGGAGAATACACCTTAAATACTTCAATTATATGAGTATGTCACAACACGCACCTCATGGTCTGATTCTATTTCATGGGCAAACACATAAATTTTCTTCCTTTTTTTTTCTTGTGGAGATGAGATTTCAACCAGGACCTGTTCTGCTACCATATTAAATTCTGTGACCGAATTGTCTAAAAGTTTATGGAGAGAACACCTTAATTACTGGATTATATTATGTCTCAACACGCGCCTCATGGGATTGATTCTTTTTCATGGTTCAAACACGTGGAAATATTCCTTTTTTGTGTGTGTGACCATCTTAAGCTCAACAATATCAAGATTCCTCAAAGAAAAGAATATGCAGACAGTAAAGGGTGACTTGGTATGCGGGATGTGATAAGCAAGGATATTCATGAAATTATTTTATCCAGCCTTCTATATGGAACAGTAATCCCATCATATCAGTACAAATGAAATATAATAATCTCAAAATTAACTAATAACTCAAACAAAACATGAAATAAAATTATATCGAGATTATTATCCTTTTATCTCACCAAACAAAACAACCCCTATAAGGTAAAAGAGAATAAGATTACATACTGTTTGTTGAACACCATTGATGTAAATAGCTTCAGAACAAGTGGTTTTGCCTGGACAAAGAGCACCAGTAGTAACATCAACAAGCACAGAAACAGTCATCTCTTCAGCAATCCAATGAACACATAATGGTAACAACAAATGCAATAAAGGCTTCAACTTTTTCATACCCTCAAACCCCATCTCTCTTTTTCTTGTTTTTTTTCCCTCCTCCCTCAATCTCAACACTTCAAGAAACAACACATCAAAATAAAAAATTAGGAATAACTAATTTCTGTTATATAAAGACAACAACTTTATGACTTTTTTTATAGATTTAAACCAAAGGGTATCTAAAGATTTGATTTTTATTAATGTATATAACATGACATATCCACACTAGTCATCAAGATTTGGTTTTTATTGCTTTAAAGAGTTGTACATTGTGCTTTTGAGAGTAGTACTTCTTGAAAAATAAAAACTCACCTACCCCAACTAGGGTGGGGGTGGGTGGTGGGGGTTAGGGGGGTGGTTTGCACGTGTAGACACTAGTGAATCGTGTGTTCTACTGAGGTTTTGTGTCCAATGTGGCTATTTTTTAAATAAATTATTGTGCTAAAAAGTGAATTGGATCATGAAATGTAAGAAAATGACAAAAGTTGGAAAGTGATTGCTGTGTGTTTGATTGATTGTGGCATGCACTAGCCTTGTTCTTGTATATCACTTTTAATTTTTTATTTTATTTTTTTGAAATTTTAAATATGTGTGTGTATTTTTTAAATAAATTTTAAATGTGCTTAGTATGATATAAAAAAAGTTATTTTATAAAAAGTTAGTTAGTATTTGGTCAGTATGGGTGATCCCCATTGCTAATGTTAATTTGTCTAATATCATTATATTAATTCAGAATTTTTTAATAATAAATAATAAAAAACGAATAAATGAATAGCATTATGCGACGAAAAAGATTTTCTTGAAAAATAATATTTTAGAAAATAATTTCTTATCTGTAGATAATTATATTATTTTTTAAAAAATTATAATCTAGATAAATATTATTAAAAAGATGCGTGTATCGCTGAATGACAGAGACAACACAAGTAAGTTGTGGAATTTGTTTTTTTTTTTTACTTTTTATTGGAAATTAAATGGTTTAAATTTTCATTCATAAAAGAAGAAATATTTCTTTTTCTCTTTTTGAAAAGAGAAAAATGGCATGATAAACTTTTTTCATGCTAACTTTTTTTTTTTGGGAGTATTGTCTGAAAAGTGAATTTAAATAATTGAGCCATAATTCTATTGTATGTGCTTTTTTTTTTTAATTGGATGAGTTATATTTTACTAGATTCTTATATTAAAAATAAAAAAAATTACTTTTCTACAATAACAAATTAAAATAAACTACACTATCAATTTTCATATTACTCTAATTAATAAATAATATATGAGTAAAATAATTTAAAATTTCAAAATATAATTAGTAAAATAGATTCCTAATTAGTAAGATTTTTAATAGAATAATCAAAATTGACATGGACCAAATAAAATAACAGAAAGTATCCTTTGAGCTTAGAATTTTACAGTCTATTTGTAAATAAAGTCATCAAACTATAAAATATCAAAAAAAAATCATATGAAACTAATTTAATAATATCATATTATTTATATTTATATCATACATATCCACTACCTTCCCACAACATTTAATGGTTAGATAAGTCCAATTGGTTGAAGGTTTGGCAAATATTCTTTAATTTAATATTCTTGATGACAAATTGATCATCAATAGAAAGATGGAAACCCTAATTAAATATGCATCTATTTCAGATTGTGACTACTTAAATATCAGCTTCATCACTAAATTATTTTATGTCTATCTCATATTTGAACTTTTTTTTTTTTTATGATTTTAAATATTGTTTAAGGGAATAAAATCACAAAATTCATCATTAATAAATTTGGTGCATAAAACAAACACTTCACTAGTTTCATTCTTGAGTCACTCACCCCTTCAATTTCTCACATTTGGTTAAACAAAATGTTTTGGAAAATATATTACCTAAGAATAAGGTGCTTGAAAATTAGAGAAATAACTTAATATGAAACTAGAAAAACAAATTTTACAAATGACCTTTTTCACACTAATTGTCTCTTCATAAGCTCATTTCAACTTTATAGCTTCTACTAGATTTTTTTGGGTGCGTAAAAGGTAAAAACCTCAGTTCCTATGCAATAGCTCGCAAATTACATAGAAGAGGTAACCAGCACTAGACAAGTCGGGTGCGACAAACTCCACCCAGAAGGCAAACCCCTAGCGAAAGCAAGAGGTTTCGAACTGGAGACCTCCAACATGAAAGTTCCAATCTCAATCCACTGGATCACTCGAAGGGTTTATAGCTTCTAAATTCTAGAATGACAACATTAATTGTCTATAACTGGATTTCAAATTTAATACTTGATGAATTTCACAAAACAAATACACATTGTTTAAGAAAAAACTACTTGATTCGAACTATTTATTAGGATGTCATCAAAACTACTATCCAACTTTACTCACTCTTTCCATGGAGGAGCATGAACAAGTCCTGTCTCCACCTAATTGAGATCTCTCTCTCAGCAAATCAACTCAACTGAAGGAAACTATAACAGTAATACTACTCGTGTGCTGCCCCGGTTAATGCAGGTTGTTCGTCTTCATCCAGTTCCTGTTCCACACTTTTAACCTCGGGCACATAATGCATGAGCATATTCTCGATACCAGATTTAAGGGTAACCGATGAGCTAGGACAACCACTACATGCTCCTTGCATTTTCAATTTGACTACTCCTGTATCTGGATCGAATCCTCGGTATACAATGTCCCCACCATCATCTTGTACAGCTGGACGAATGCGAGTCTCTAAAAGTTCCTTGATCATTGCCACTGTTTCTGAATCATCCTCATGGATAGCTGTATCCATGGAGGCTGCAGTACTGGAGTCGAGGAATACTGGGTTCCCGGAGGAATAGAAATCCATAATTGCTGCAAATATTTCAGGTTTGAGGAAATCCCAGGATGCTTCTTCACTTTTTGTTACAGTAATAAAATCTGATCCAAAAAATACGCGTGTAATCCCTGCAAGAAGGAAACAGGATTCAACTCTTAGGCGCATAAATGAAAAAGCAAACAACAATAACAATAATACTTCCCCTGTCTAATTTATTTGACACAATCTCCTTCTAGGCCTCCCAGATGTTTTACATAATTCTACAAAATCAATTGGTATATTTCATGATTCAACTATATCAAAATTATGCATCTAAGCAGTTACGTGATATTTTCTCAATTACCGCTTTTCTTAATGAACTTACCTACATTACATACAAGTCAAACTTAACTCGTAAAATTCTCTATTCATTCAGATTTCAGACTATGCCACACATGGATGGATTGTCTTGGGATATCTAAACTTAAAATCACGTGAAATTCATGTGGCTTTAGCAAAACACATACACAAAAAAAGAAATAGAATGATAACAGTACTAGCAAAAATTATAATATAACGGAAGCAAATATCTATATCGTGATACCAACTAGTTAAGTCTGGCATTGACAGAAGTCCTTTTACATTATCTAGAGATTAGTGTGTTAGAGAACTCCAATTTATTGAGTATCGGAACGAAACATGTCCGAATGCAGCAAAGTGGACATCAAAAAGCTCATATAGCCAACCCCAACAGAATCTAATTATTTTCCACCTTCCGCCCTTGAGGATTGGTAAATGTCTGTTTCAGATCTCCAGGCATCACAGATGAATTGGATGTAAGTTTAGGAACATGGTCCATCTCAGTCATCTGCCAAGCAAACTGTACTGAACATATGATTGGTTAACTCTGTTACTTCACATACACTGCATCATTTGCATGGATTGCACTCCAGCCAAAACATTCTACTTTTTGGGCAGAGCTTTTGTTTTCCTAAATATCGTCCCAAGACAACTATTTTCAAACATTTCTTTTTTTAAATAGAACTATATACAATCATTTCTTAACAGCACCCTGTAACAAGAATTCATTCCATCTCCTTTTCAGTCCAATACATATAAAATCTTGCATGTCCTCAATATCAGCATTCCCTATTACATCCTTCCAACAATTGAAAAATCCTTCTGAAAAGTCCACGCTCGGAAAAACAATCTGCTAAAGTGCAACTCTGTTTACATCCTATTGTATAAATTTGGAAAAGTGCCCCTAACTGAACTTCTCCAACTATTTGTTTATGCAGAATTTTGTTTTCCTCCCATAATACACCTTTAATCATATAATGATTGAACATCCTTGCATACTATTCACTGGTTTTGTGCACCATTAATCTCCACTTTGTTCCTCTTCATCGACCTCTGATGTTATTTGATTAACAAACTCTTGTTATACTCTTTCCAGAACAATTGGGCCACCAAGAGGATTACATCAACTCAGTGCAGGCATTGGTCTTTAGAAAAACATCTCTTCGTACAGGGATGGGTTCTTCCAAAACGTATCCTTCAAGGTTGGAAATGAATCATATATTCACATGTGAAGTTCTGGAAGGATAAATGGCTGGGGACATGGTACTTAGAGACTTATATCCAGCACTTGCCTCAATTGCATGCAATCCTGAATCCACTGTTGCTGATAATAGAGAGGGGGATATCTGGAGAATTACTTTCAGAAAGAACCTACAAGACTGGGAGTGTGAAGAGTTTTTGAACTTATTAGCTTTGCTTGAGGGCCACAACATAACAGAATCGCAGCCAGACAGAATCTCATGAGGAAGTTCTAGCGAAGGCATATACAAAGCTACAATCATCTATGCTCTCAAAATGAGATTTTGAAAAATGGCCTTGCAAAATTATTTGGTGGACTAGACTTCCCACTAAGGTGATCTGCTTTACCTGAACAGCTTTCAAAGGTGCCTGTTTGACCCAAGATAACTTAGCAGAAGGAGCTCTCAGTTGACTAATAGAAGCTACATATGGCAGAGGAACCTGGAGCCCATTGACCATCTACTTCTACTCATATACTGTCCAGTTACAGCATAACTTTGGAACTTCTTTTTCTTCTCCATTTTTGGACTGAGTTGGATGCAGCCTCAGTCAATCAAAGATGCCTATGAAAGCTGGAGACTTGCAGAGTTGATAAAGCCATCAGAAAGATCTAGAGGATGATACCAGCTACTATATCTTGGTATTTATGGAATGAAAGGAACTGCATATGTTTGGATGGAATTTCAATGAAAGGAACTGCATATGTTTGGATGGAATTTCAACTCAACATACTTTGAAGGCTAACTGTTTAGACAACCTCCACTGCTAGATGGCCCTTACACCCCTGTAAATTGCCCAATTATTTTTTTGAGTTTTGTTAGCTCCTTAAACTTAATTACATACGTACTGGAGTTGGCAGTACTTTTGCATACATACTGGAGTTGCCAACTTCCCCGCAGACTACTCATCGATTGGTGATTGCATAAAAGCAAGTTGGCAGTGAAATATGAAGTAAAAGGGCCTTCTAATAACATAAGGCACAAAATGCGACACATTCGAAAAAGCGCTAGTTCTCAAAATTGCTCCTTATTATGGCAATACAATTGTCCCTATATTTATTTCTAGACAGTTTTATTGCACATACAGAATATATTATGTTTTGCTGCTGCCTTGATTTAAAGTTGAATCCACAGCCAGTCAACTAGATGATAAAAATAGCAACAATTATTCTAATAGCCTTAATGCTGCTTGGTAGTATGTTAAAGAGTTAAAATGTAACTGCACTAAATTAGGCGTCTTTTCTTCCGCATCTCTTCCATGAAAGTCTGACGAGAGTTAATGCTATAAACACAATCCGTGCCAGTCTAATGAGAAGTAATATCATAAACACATCCCAACACATCAGTAATCCATGAAATGAACATAGATGTTAAACGTCTAAGACTCTTAAATCTTCAGCATCTAAGTTTCGAGAACACATACCATCTATTCCAAAGAGGGCCTTCGCCAGAGGTGAATTCATGGCAGAACGAGCATTTGGAAAGTCTGCACTCCCAGTTTCCACAACTGGCTTCCCAGGATAGAACATTAGGGATAACGGATTCGGAGTTGATTGAGTTTGGATAAACATGGTCCTCTTCTGGCCTGTTCACAGAAAGTACATGATCAGGATACAAACATTCGCAAAATGTACTAGTTAACACACCTGTTTATCACATGAGGCAATTAGTAGATCAACTGTGTAAACTATAAAGTCTTAATCTTTTTGTAAAGGTGAAAAATTATGCAAGAAAAAAAACACCATAATTTTTGTGATCGTTCTTCTAGTTGCTTCTATTTTCATTTTCATTTCTATTTGCTGATTAAGTTCAGCTCCTATGATATCTCACCAATTATCAACAGAATTCAAATTCATTATTATCGTATGCTCAATTCCCAATGTTCATGGAAAAATTCTCATGTAGCCCTGCTATTTCTTTCTCTACTACTAAGGCCACATACATTAGCAGGAGAAAAAAGTCTACACCTTCAAAACAAACAATCATTCAAAACTAGTGTCATCCATGCTTCAAGTTCAAGCTCATGAATTGTCTGGAAAAAAAATCTTAAATTTATAAATTCAGAAAGAGTCCAACTTTACATTTTCCTCTCCTTCCTTACCCTCAACCATTTCCCATAAAAATCCATAAACCCAAAAATATCCAGAAAACACCAATTCTACTCGCGTGCAGTTGTAAAAATCCACATCAAATACAACATCAATTGAAAAAGAGGAAGTACCTGAATATAAAAAAAAACTTACCTCCAAAATGGCTCCATAATGTCGGGCATGAAGAAGGAAACTTTGAAGGCTTTAGCGAAGTGAAATCAGAGAACACATACGGCGTATTGGAAGATAAAGCATAAAGGAATCGACGAGATGTGGAAAGTGAACCATTTTCTACATGGGTTTTTGTTAACAATCTACAGCTCCGGAGATTCGTTCGCGTTATCAATCTCCCTAATAATCCCTTCATCACCACAGTTTCTCGTACAAGCTTCTGCAAAAAAATCTGAATTCTTCGAGCTTCAATTACACATTTTCATGGCGGTATTTTGTCCTTTGAGGGATTTTCAGACTGAAACGTCAGATGGAAGAGAAAATCACAAATATGGTCCTTCAAATATGAAGATAAGTTCGAAATAGTACCTAAAGTTACCAATATGTGAAAAAGAAGAAAAAAAACATAGCAAACAAAGTAGACATAATTTAGTCTACGCGGCACTGTACATGATAATTTTGTATGCTATATGCTTTATTTTTCGGGATTTGACAGGCTCAACTCAAAAGATACTAAAAAAGATCGATTTTGAATTATTTGTGTGAATAATCATCTTTCAAATCAATCGAGCCATTCCGAAGGACTATACATTCAAAGTTAAAAAATAAAAATGTCAGCAATAATCAAAATGAAGAACATTATTATGTATTTACGTGAAGTATCAATGACAAATAGAAACAATATGTGATGGTAATAGCTTATAATCAAAAAGTTATAAAGAGGAGTAACGGTAAAAGTCAAAAATATATATCATTAATTTTTTTTATGAAGAATCAATAACTCTTATTGATAACGTATTATAGTAAAAGATTAAAACTAAGAATATTGTAAGAAGAGACGGATGAAAATAAAAAGACAAGACATGAAAATTTTCTTACTCTTCTAATTAAGTATATTCAAATAATGAATTTTTAGAGGGCAACTTTCACATATAGCAAATAAAAAAATTCATATTTGTATGCTATAGCAAAGTTTGCATAATTGCGATCCATAGCAAATATAAAACTGTATAATTCGCTATACATATACAATTGTATAATTCGCTGGCCTAAATTGTATAATTCGATGGCCTATTTCGTTGCAATTGTATAATTTGCTTTGCATACAGTTTAATTGAATTAAGATGTATGTATATTGCATAATTATAAGTGTATAGCAAGAAGATATATGTTTTTCTCGCTTTATACAAAAACAGAAACACAATATATACACTTCTGTTGTATAAAGCTAGAGAAAATTGTATTTCAGTGCAATTGTGTAATTCGCAATTGTATAATTCGTTGGCCTTTTTCTCTGCAATATTTGAAGTAAAATATTTGTAAATTGTATAATTAAGTGTATAACACGAAGATATATATTTTTGCATGTGTATATACAATTTTCTCTCGCTTAATACAAAACAGAAACAGAATTATACGCTTCTGTGTATAAAGCGAGAGAGGCGAGCGAGAATGGAGAGTGGCGAGAGAGATTTTTGGGATAGAGACGCTGACAAATTTTAGCTAACGTTTGCTATGGAGCACAATTAAATCAAACCCTAGCTATTCCATTTATTTTAGGTTATTAATTTGCTATTATATATAATTTTCTCATTTTTAAAAGCATAAAAAAAGTTAATAATAAATATGACATTAATTATAAAAATTATAAAGGAAGAAAAGAATATGTGTCAAATTGGTAGCAAAAATCATTATTTTATATGTCAAAATTTCAATATAAATATTAAATCTCGAATTAAAAATTTAAAGAATGAAAAAGAAAATTAATTCAACCTCCTAATTTTATTTTATTTTTCATGCAAAATAATAGTCTTACTTGTTGTTAGAATATATTCTTAAAAAACATGCCACCTGTCGAATTGTGTATCCTCTTTAATGACATGTCACTGCCACATCCACATTATTTTATTTATTGTTTAATAAAAATTGTGTATAGAATATCGAGTCCGATTCTATCCACAAATATTACATTTCCCAAAAATAGCATATTTTAGTTGGTTCGATTTTGATATTAAATTTTAAAAGTTAATTTCCTTCTTGCAAATAGTATAGTTTCAAATTGAAAATAAATAACATCAAAATATGTATTATTTTATGTTTTTACATATATAAGGTAAACATCAAAATTAAAAAATTATCAAAAAAGATTTTAAATGAAATTAATAAAAACATAATAAAAGATCATTTGATACCTAATTAGTGTTACACATATACTAGTGCTGTAGGATTATTATAAGTAAATTTGTTATTATTTTGTATCGAAATTAATTATTCATATATAATTATTTTATTTCTTAATTTATATAGAATAATATGTAAATTTTGTCATAGCTTGTATAAGTATTAACCAGTGATCAAGTTAAAATTTTTAATAAATGATTCAACATTTGAAGAATTTAAATATATAAATTAATTGAAAGGGATTCAACATTTATTATATGTACATAAAATAATTTTTGCCATATATAAATAATATTATATTTTTCATCAATGAGAACTCTGATGAACCCCTAACATAAAATTGACTTCGCCCTTAGTATTAACCATGGATTCTTGTTATTTTCGATTCGTCTAATAAAAATTAAAATTTATTACATATAAATAATTTATTTCTTATTCGACTATACGTGATATTAGTACCATGCATGCCCTCGAAGCAAAGCAAAATTATAATATTGTCAAACCCCTCTTTTCTGTATCCCGTCTCTCACATTCTCTCGAAACCCTAGAACCGTTTTCCTCCTCTTTTAGATTCTCTCAATCGCTATGAAAATTTTCGAAATCTTCGAATCTAGCTTCTCTATAATCTTGATTTACAGCTGGATTTGATGATTCCTTTCATGTCTAAATCCTAGATTTTTTTTTGATTTTTTTTGATTTTTTTTTTGTTGGGCTAAAAAATTGAACCCATGGAGGGCTCTGTGTCTGTTGCTGATGATCTCGGAGCCCCACCGGAGTCATGGGAGGTGGCTGACTTGGATGCTAGTATGAGACGGCTCATACTTTCTTCTTCGAAGAAGGATGCTGATTCTTCATCTTCTTCTGTGAATGATAATCAATCTGAGCTGCCTGATTCATCGGCTTTGGCTGGTGCTGGTTCAGCTGCTGTTTCCGGGAGTGTGTCGGAGGATGTTGTTAACACTGTGGATCAGTTTCTCCGTGAGGCTTTACAAAACCCTCGAGAGCGTCTTTCCGGTTAGTTTCCGCTTTTTATAATGAAAGTTCTGATTTTTATGCTAATTTGCATCAGTGATAGGATTTGTTAGTTGATTTTTGTTTTGTTCTGGTATGTATAATTCTTACTGTGCTTGTATAGTCACAGTCACATTGCTGTTAGCTGTGTCAATCAATTAGTTACAGCTGAATTGTAAACTGTTTGGTGTTGGCTGGATGATCCGAATTCCCAAATGAATGCAGTGTTAGTATAAAGCCTTAATAAGAGGACAAGACAAGTGTTGTGGTTCAGTGTGGCTGATCACACATTTGGTTAAAACCTGAAAGGCCAACTGTGGTTTAAATGGTAAATTCTTTTATAATCAGTGTGCAGTAGTCTTTGCTTTGTGAATTGCACTAAGTTTCATGTTTGGTTGGGGCAGATTCATTACATGATGTCTCTTTTGGATGTCTACAATTTCTGATTGGATGTTATCTCAGATTGCTGAAATGTAAAAACAATCTACTGTATGTTATTATTGATCTCTTTTGACTACATACAGAAGAGAATAATTGTTGAGGAGAAAGAATACGGTCCAAACAGATTAAATACTTAGAGGATAAGGCATGTGTCATTGCTTACCACCATGTCATTTTATTAGTGGGGTATAATGAAGGAGTAATCTATCAATCCCTTCCACCAAGATTCAATCTTGGGAAGTGCTTTTTTAATGTCATGTTACTTGTATTTAAAAGGAGATTGAAGCTAAGGAAATATGTGTACATGCCAGTGAGCTTGGCAGGTAGACTCTACTAATATCCTTGCTAAAAGGCGAAGAAGGTAACTGGGAAGCTAGTTCCTGACATCCGGTTAGCTTTCATCAAAGCAAGCAACTCTAAAATGCAATCATAGTAGAATTTAGAATAATGCCTGGATGCCAAAATAGGGCTGTCTTGTTGTCTAAGCTTGACATTGAGGAAGTATCTGATCATTAAGTGGATGTGCCTAACCATCTATTGGAATACTTGGGATTTGAATAAAAAGGGATCAACTAGATTTTGTTTGTGCATCTCTACAAATAGAATGTCAGTTTGAAATATGGCTCGCCAACGAGATGCTTTCCAAAAAAAAAGGGCCTCAGCTAAGGTGATCCCTTGCAGAATGCTGAGGAATGTCCAGGTTGATTAACTGATTTAAGAACTTCTCTGTGAGGGAGAAGAAATCACAATGTGGAGGACATTTCTCATTCTATCTCAAATGACACACTGTTTATGTGTGATACTAATAAACACTACCACCATCTATCGCAAAAGATAAATAATAATAATAGGAGGAGAATAAACTATTAGAAACAATCTCTCTACCCACAAAGGTAGGAATAAAGTTGGAATACATCCTACCCTCCCTAGAAGAGCATCCTGAGCTGCTCAGCTTTGCTAGGGATACTAGGGCCACAATTGCAGACTTTAGATAAGGATGGCATATAACCTTCAGAAGGATTTGTGATAATTGGGTTATGGGATGAATGACTTTACTGCTGCTGCTTTTTATTTTGGATAAGTCTACTACCGCAGTTGTTAATAGTCAGCTCCTGAACTAACACAAAAGTGCAGACTCTACAGGCTGGAAAGGACGGAGTAAGGAGTAATTCACAATGAAATCCTACTACAAGTGGCTAGCATCTCAGTGTTTCTCGACCTTTTTATCCCCACAAAAGAAATTGGAAATTTCAGCTTTATTTAGGGTTGCTGATCACTTGTTCAAGGCCTATATTTAATCCTAAACAACTTGCAGAAAGGACACTCTATTTGCAGCAGATGTCCTTTATGTGAAGAGGAATCTGGGGATATAAATTGTATCTTTTTGCGTTCTGCTTTCAGCCGGAAGGTTGGAATCTGTATTTGACTATTTTTGAACTTGAATGGATCATTCCAAAGACTTGCCATTAAGTTGTTACAATTCTGGATCAGAAGGCTTCAGAAAGAAGCAAAATCATTCGCGCTTGTAGCTGGTGGGTAGTCTGTAGGGAATGGAATTCTGGAATCAAATATTTTGAGGGCAATCAGAGTGTGTAGTTAAAAGAAATACAAACACAATTTTTGCTCACCTATTGATGTTGATAGGTTCTTATAGACTTCTATGATTCCCTAGGGAACTGAGTTTTACATCAACAGCTGTGTGCAACCCCACTCTTTCTCTGATCTTTGAAGTCTTCGCTGAGTTATCAAAAAGAGAAGAAACGGGCAAGTTTTTGCAGGATGTTTTTTCCATTTTGCCCGAGAAGTATAACATGAATCTTTTCCACATTGCTAAAAGAAAGAAAGATATTTAGAAACCTTGAACCTTTTCAATCGGAAAACACTATGTTCTCTATTATATATTCTCAGATATGTAGTATTTACTCTTCAGGTATTATCCTGTGGTAGGTTTCTGGTCATTGCATACAAGTTGTATGATGACTTATAAAAAATATTCACAGTATAATGCTTCAGTTACCTTTAGGTGCCGCCTTTTCTATTCTTAATCTGGATGTGCATTATTTTTTAACAATGTTATTTCATCCATGTGTTATTTTGAGATGGCTAGATTCCCCTAAAATATTGCTCTGTATGCATTTCATTCCCTTCCCCTTCTCTTTTTGTCTTTATCTTTTTGTGGGTGGGTGGTGGGTCAGTCTTTGTTAGTCTGATTGATTATTTTTATCATGCGTATTGTGACTTATCATTTGCTTTTCTCAGTTCTGAGGATGGAGCAAGATGTTGAGAAGTTCATTAGGGATCCTGGTCGACAACAGATGGAATTCCAACAGCTGCCTACCTCCTATTTGCGACTGGCTGCTCACCGCGTGGCACAGCACTATTCATTACAATCAATGGTTCTGTTGGACAATAGTTTACCGGATGGCTCGGGTTCCAGAATTATTGTGCGCAAGACTTCTGAATGTCGGATGCCGTTGATTCGCCTGGCTGACATTCCGGTGAATTTGCCTCAAGGAGATACTGGTGTGGTTAAGGTTGCGATAAAGCAGAGGCCACAGAAAGGTTCACAGTTAGCAAGTGGTTTGAATTCAAACTCATCAAAGGGAAATTCTGCTAAAAGTGTTGAGGAAAGGAAGGAGGAATATAATAGGGCTCGAGCACGTATATTTAACTCTAATAGTTTAAGTGGAAGCTCCAATGTAAAACCTGAAACTGAATCAAGGTCACAAGATACTTACCAGTATGGTCCTATAGGCATACCACAGTTGGAAGAAAAAGCCAGTCCAGCTGGCGGCTCTGATTTGAATACTGGGCGGAGTCTGATTGATTCTTCAACAAGTAGCAGTAGGTCGGCTAGAAGTAGGACAGAAAAGGAGCCAGTTGGTAGGTCTAAATCTTATAATAAAGTTGCTATCTTTCGCGATCGGGAAATTGACAGGAAGGACCCTGATTATGACAGGAATTACGACAGGTCTTTCTTAGTCCTCTGCTATTTTATGAATATAGTGTAAAGTGACCCTTCCCCTTAGTTTGTGTTTTGTGTGCATGTTGGTGGTTCTATCAAGTGGTATCCCTTTTAACATGGTACTTCTCTCTTCTTTGTGGTAATAAAATCACTCTTATACTCAGTATACAAAATGTTCAAATTGATTATTTCTACAAAAGCTCCACTCCAATTGAGATTTACTGACCAGTCTGGATAAAGGCTTGCCTGTGTTCATGGTTGTTCTAGAATGATTAGTGTTACAGTGAGTGATCTGAAGTATATGTGGGGATCTGTGATTCTCTCTTTCTATTGCATGTCCGACATCTGATGCTTACCACCTATGTAACCTTTGCTTATTGTGTAGGTTCCTTTTTTAATTATTTTTTTTTTTGGGGGGGGGGGGGGATTGGATTGGATAGAACTAGAGGTTTGGATTATAGTATGCTTATTGATGTTAAGGTGGTTTGGAGCCACTAGTCGGTTTTCTTTATTTTATATTTATTTTTTAGATGGCAACGTTTGTCAGTTTCTTTTATTGTCCGTGTTTCTTCTCTTGCTTCTTCCGTCTCCACTGCACACTACTGCAGGTTGTTTAAACTATTTTGTTGACGTCCTATTGATATTTGATGCTACTTCAATTGTATATATGAGAGTGTGTTTTGTCATTTCCCTCAAAAGCTTTTAGTACGACTGTACGAAATGTGAGGTTCGAGTTTATGCTTTACATAATTATGTGCAAATATAATACAACCATCTTCTGTTGTGTCCCCCTCAATTTCATATCTTCATGCTCGTGGATATTTTCAATACAATGTTCATGTCGTTTTTCTTGAAACTTAGTCTTTTAATTTGTAGGTACATGCAAAGGTTTGATCCTGGGTTTGGATTCGCTGGTGGCCCATACACAATTCAACCCATGTATGCTCCTGCAATAAACTATAATACTGAGTTTCCCCAGCTTGGATCTGCTCTTAGGTCTCCCATTTCTGCTGAAAACCAACCTCGTCCACTTCCTCAACATTTACCTGGGCCTTGGACAACACCAACGACTCCAGGTATTGGTTATGGTCCAGCAGAGAGCATGATGCCTCCCCCTTTTAGTCACAATCATGTTAGTGCACGCTCAAACTCAGCTATATATTTACATTCAACCCAGTATCCTTGTCAGCGTCCTGGAATGACTTTTATCCATCCTCATGAGCAGGTTCACCAACCCTTCTCACAGGTATGGCAAACTTATTGAACTTCACTCTTCAATAATTTGGGCTTGTTATTAATGAAACCCCCGGAGACCTAGACAGATTTAAGAGAGAGTTTGTACAAACTCATATTTCATGTGTGAAAACCTGTTCATAACTACTGTTTGGCCTAACTAACATGTTAACATTACTCAAACTTCACACAGTGAGAGATGATAATAGTTTAAGCTTCTGAAGCAAAGTTCAGTTAGGGGGAAATATTTCTAGTAAAGAGCATGCTGGGATCCTCCTTCATATTTAAGTGCTTGGTTACTAGACAAAGGGTTAACCGATGCAGATACGCAAAGAGAATCCAGTGACAATTGGCCGTTACACTTGCCTTCTGATAGAATGTTTCTTGAAGCTATGGAATCTTGTTATGCTTAGTTATCTTGCGTGGGGCATGTGTTTTGAGGAATTTTAGCTTGTAGAGTAGAGAGGGGGTCTCTTTTCTTCCACATGAGATTTTATAATTATCCGTTAGTAGTTGTGCTTGACATCCTGGTTTATTATTTCCACTTTATGGTTTGCTTCATCATTTGATTGCTCCGTCTGTTCATGGTTTTCCAGTCTCATGCGCTGCAACCTGATGGTTTTGGATTAGCCCGGCCCCGGTGAGGGGCACGGGCCATGCCTGCATCCTGCCACATACATTCAGCATCTTGAGGGGGATGCTGAGCGGCAAAATGTTGCAATTGGTAGGGTGCAGGCATGAACAACTGAGACTTGGTGGAGTGGATTGTTCAGCTTGCAGTATTTTCCGCATCCACCCACCAGTCTCAGTTTCACAGAGCCTCCTGCATTGCTCTGAGGATGCTCATATTCCTTGGCAGTTCCATTGCATGGATGAGCACTCAAAAGCTATGATGACTATGACGGCGATGATGACGACAAATTAAATCAGCAAGAGTTCAGAGCCGGAAACTAAGAAGTTTGATCTGTTTTAGGTTTATTCTCATTTTCCACTATTTTTTGCCTTCTTTAAGCTTTCCCTGTTTCTACGTGTGAAGTATTGTAACAAACTACTGCTTGATTTATTTCACAGCCTCATCAAAGCTCCAAGCAGAAATGGAACTCAGTTAGAGATTTCAGAGTAAATTTGTTGACAGGACATGCAGCCTAAGGTAGCTTTGGTGCTAGACTGACGGTGATAACAAAGAGCTCTGTTCTCCTATGGCAAAAGCAAATCTCCAGGAGAGACTCTGCAAATTATGTATTTAAACGTAAAAGTGTTTCCCCTTTTCATTTTGTTCAGACGATATTCAACTGATTTGGTCTTTCGCCAACTTATTTGTAGCTGAAGCGTTTTGTTCACAACTCTTTTCATTTCTCGTTACCAAAATGATCGTAACTGGCAATTTATCCCAGTGTTTTACTCTAAAACAGCATGGATTTTGACAAGTGTGATTACCAACTTGAAACATGGTGGTCACATTTGGTCATTACAGTGAGCTGGGCGTAACATAACATAAATATTTAGTCGTCAAGTTATCAATTTTTCTACGAAAAATATTTTCATTCGTATCAAACACATATCAACTATGTCATTCTGGCATGGGGTTTACGAAGGCAAACAATCCTATTATCTCTCATTTAACAACAAAAAAAATTCTAAAATTTTAAAATAATGACTTGAGCCATAGTTATTAATTATATTGATAATGTGGCTAATTATCAAATATAGAATTAATTCAATGTACTACCCACTGTGTATTGGTGTATGAATTTGTGTAATATTTTCTTTCATCCGATATTGTTTATCATGATTTTTAATTATAGAGTCAAATTTTAAACTTTTAACTAACATTTTAAGATGTGATTTATTCATCATATTGATAGCAAAAAATTGCAATTTATAGTATTTTTCACATAGTTTTAGCATATTTAAGTATTTTGTTTAAAATATTGAATTAATGTAAACTAGTCAAATTAACTTTCCAAAAGCGCAACATGACAAATAAAAGTGGACAGAGAGAATATCTGTTTGTTCGCTTTGTATGTATTTGCTCTGATCAGCTTCAATCGAAACTAACAAAATCGTATTGTAATTTCTTTTTTAATTATCACCGAAAAAAAGAAAGTAGTAACTTGCTATAGCCGTTTAAGTTGTGCACATTTTCAAATTAATATTTTTTACATTATCAAGTCATTCAGACTATATTTTTAGTTTTTTAAAATATAAAATTTGTAATCTCATATGTAAGATAAATATTTTACTATAACAAACAAAATAATCGAATGGTGTTTTTTATTTTTATTTTTACATAAAATTAAATTATGATATGTGTGAACAAAATTTGAGATCCTTCACATGAATATTCAAGTCTCCTGTTATAGAGCATCATCTATCTCCCGTGCTCAAATATTGCATAAGCATGTTTGTCTACCCCACAAGAAGCATTTTTTTTCTCTCATAGAATGTCTCTTTTTTGGCTTTATACCTTGACAAACTAAATATTACAAAGCAATATCCATGTGCAATAAGGATGTGTTTGGGTATTTTGAATTTTTTTAATAATTAACACAATGATTTTATTTATGAAGATAAAGAAAAACAAGTTTGATACTATCCCTTATGACTTGACAAATAGGTTGTTTAAGCAAAAGTTACTTCATTTGACTGAATCCATATTCCAACTTCTAGCTCCACACCCCACCTCTACCTCGACACCATAGTTCATAATATGAAAAATATTCTCCGTCATACCAAACACACCACAACACTTTCTCACTTTTAAAGCAAAATCTAGCGTCTACCGCGTAAGAGGAAAAAAAATAGGGAAGCTTTTCTCTTTCCCACACTTGATGGTTAAAGTGCACTTTGACCTGTGTTTTGTTATATGAGTATAAAGAAAAGTGTGGGGGCTATGCTGATCAGGTAATCAATATTTCTTTTTCCGAGTGAACTGTGCTATTCTCGTGTGACTCTTGGCATGTTTATCAATTAGTCTCCACCAAGTTTACATGCATATATGACTATATAAATAAATGTATTTTTTTCCAAACATAGCCCAGAAAAATAACATCTCAAGGTACTGACCCCCTCTAAGTTCCTACTAACACAAGGTAAGTAATTGTATTTCTGTTTCTACTTTGCTCATAATTTTCATAACATATGTCTTCATGGACATATAGAGCAGATAGTTTTCTATATTATGTTTCGGTATGAGGTATCCTAATCTAGTTTTGTCACTTTTGTCAAGATATATTTCAGGGCAAAGAAAGCAATACAGAAATGGAAAAAGAGAATTCAGAGCTGTACCTGCGTAACTGTCAGATTATTCGTGAGAATGAGAGGCTGAGGAAGAAAGCTCAACGTCTGAACCAGGAGAATCAAGCTTTGTTGTCAGAGCTGAAACGGAAGTTAGCAGCTAAAAATGCCAAGCGGAAACCTGAATTTGAAGTTGATATGGGTTCAAGTTCTGTCAGTGATCAAATAGAAGCAAACAAACGTCAGGCACTGGAATGAAAGTGAATGTTGTACCAAATCACTTCTTCCAGGTGCTTTATGCAGTTCAAAATTATGAGAAAGTTCAAATTGGGTTTTACCAATGTCATAGCAATTACCAGGCAATGTGCCATTTGAAACTATTTATTGTTGCATTTACTCCAAAATAATGTACTAGTTTAGTAATCAAATCGAAGTGCTTAGCTAAAAGGTCTACTACCAATTGTACTCCCAAGAGAAAAAAACAAGTAAAAAAATTATGCTATTAAGGGGTTGTGAACTAAAAGGCCAAGTTTTTCACTTCATCAATTATCAATCCACATTCAACTTCCTGTCTATGCTTGAGAATGACTGGTAAAATGCCTTGAAGTGCTTGTATGCAATATCCACATCTTCCTTTCCACATATCTCTCTCACGCTGCAATTCCAGAAAAGCAAAGTGAATTTATGGAAAATTGATGACCAACTTGACGAAACAGGTGACCAATTAGAGCAAGAAGAAGATATATATTAACAGAGTAAAATATTATGGTGTCCTCAAGCAACATGTAACCATTTCATCAAATCAAACTACCATGTGCCAATTACAAATTACATCGTGAGACTTCCTAAGTTAATTATTTAGCTGTCATTTGGTTTACACCATAGAAACTTTTTACTCTGAAAGAGTACACAAAATGTACATTTTTATAGGAGGTTTGACAAGGTGCCTGCATGTTGAACATTTTTCTTTCCGGATTACTTCAATTTGAAAAAAAGTTGTGTATAACATCTGATCCCTACTTAACTGAAGAACAAGCACTGCAGCTTGATAATATAGATCATTACCAAATATGAGCTCAAGATATTCTATGTCGGATGATGCATGACAAATTTCAAAAGAACTAGTTATAGACCGCTGCCTCTATTGCATTTTGGGTAAATACAATTTGATTGAATCTAAGAGTAAGGCAATACTTTTTTGCTTTTGGAAGTCTAGTTCTCTTCCTTTTGTGACATGAACTAAGGGTAGAGGAATATTTTTTTGGATTTCAGAAGTTTGTTTTTGTTTATCCTAATGGAAACCAGTCACTGGTGTATAACCAACTTTCAAATAAATGGAAGAAAATTCTTGGAAATCCCATGAAGCACAACATTGAATGGAGAAACTAAATAACAAGGTACCTGTGCATGGATAGCTGAGCAATACCACAATCAACAGTACGTATTCCAACTCCTGCAGCAAGTATTGGACCTATAGTTGATCCACATCCCATATCATTTCGCACCACAAAGTCCTGTAAGGATTTAAAAGAGTGGTTGCTTTATACAAGCTTACATACTGGGATCTTAAAATTTTAATAGAAGTCATACACAAGATTTGTTAATGAGAGACTGCAGCACATGTGGAGTTTCCTCTCATATCATTAATATAAACTCCAACATATTTTCTTATTGATATATACTGAGCATACAGTTCCTTGTCATATACTTCTTGGAAACCTCTTACAAACTGAACAGGATACATCAGAAGAGTATTACAGCTAAGATTGTGCCTAGCTGTCTTCTTGCAAAAGATGTAGATAAAAGTACTTAACGAAGGACTAAACTACACGGTATTTTTCATGATATCCTCTCTTAACTGAATTCAACAAAACGGAAGAGCTCTCTATTTTATTTGATGAAACTCTTTATTTGGTCTCTGGACTTCTAGCCTCTTATGTGCTCTTCTTCCATGTGTATAAACTTATGTTCATATTGAAAAGAAATCACATAATTATAGGACAGGCAATAACATGGTCTCACGTTGTCATGGCAGTCCTACTTTCTTTATGCAATAATAGGGAGAGATATTAGGAAGTATGCTTTCAAGCATAGACTGAGGAGGTGAGGGGCCAAACAGGGAGACACATAAATGGCTAAAACTCTCTTAATTTACATGTAAATGCCTAGATAAACAAGGGTCTTGTTATAATAGAACCTTCTTTTGTGATGATGTAAGACCTAGAAAATAAAAGTAGTTCAGAAAACGAAAGAAAAGTTAATATGCACTTGAAGATTAAGAAGAAAGAGCAAGAGAAGTACATAAATCTCATTAATGGTAAGTAAGAGCAATATGTCAAGATTATAGATATAATACCTTATGCCTGGAAAAGAAGGCTTTTATCTCAAAAGACACGAGAAAACCTAAGAAGCTACCCATGAACATTTTGACCAATGCACTCTGGAATAGTTAGTGCAACTTATAGTTGAGAGAGTGATACATTAATTAATACATTTGTAGCATTAATGCGTTGGATTTGGATCCTATAGAAGTTACAAGTTGACTCTTGAATAAGGGATTCAATTAATAGGTCAAGTAATGGCTTTCGTGCCCTCCTATTTCTTTGATGGTTATGCTAAAGCACTTGGAAGTTGAAAATTACCTGTGTCGGAAGGCTGTGGAGTCTTGCAACTTCTTTAAAAAGAAAAGATGTAATTCCACTAGTAGCATAGCGTTGATTTGCATTATGCTTGATTACAAGTCCCTTCTGTAATTCAGGACGGTGGTGCTCCTCATGCTTATCAACAAAATTAGGGTGAACTCCATGAGCCATATCAGCAGACACTGTTGTTTGAATGAGATACTAGACAATAAGTTTCACATGATATGTAAAGGGAAAATGATGTGATTTTGACAAGAAAGCTGGAAACTGATTTTTCCTCCTTTCTGTATGTTATGAAATCAAAAGTATTTCCATGTTAGACCCCACAAATTCTGGTATCTATGGACAAGGAAAATGATGTACTACTTGGCTGGTTTGCATCACACCTACAATCACACTAGCCTTTCTATGAAGGAACAAGTTTTTGGGGAACTCGTTAGACCTTCTTGTTACATGGTCTGGGAAAGCAAAGGCTGTTACATTTATCAATAAATTATTGCACTCGTCAATGGAAACCTCAACACAGAAACTTAGTGACTTTAAAGTGCAATAGTGTATACAAGTTAACATAAACTCAAATAACAAACTTATTAGTTTTCATTTGAAAAGACAATTACTAATACACATTTGCATGTAATCAGATTTATATGTTCAGCAAATGAAACTGAAGAGGTGTAAGTTTACAGGGCCCAATACTGAATTTATTACTGCCTTCTGAAAGAATCATGCAAAGCAATAACCCTTCCCACTATACTGTCTTATTTTGAGCTGGTCAATTGAATTACTGCTGCAGGAAATGAGGAACAACTGTTCACATAGGAAGGATTTGAGAGTATGGAGTAGTCCATTCATATTAAGAGATATTGAAAGGCCACAGACATATCAAGAAGAAGTACCAAGAAAAGAGTGGCGAATTGCGCGGGCAAAATCAGTTTCTCCTGCAGACTGATGACTTAGACAGTCAGTTATCCGTCTCATTGCCTCAAACATAGTTGGAGCACCAGCTCCTTGGCATGAATCTGAACCAACCTATAGTCTTGATAGAGTTAGACCTCATGCTTAAGTAAATGGGAAACTGAATCAATTCAGATAGCTGATCCAAAGTTCAAGTTCAAGCCAAACTTCACTGATTGCGTAAAGAAATGTCTGTCAAGTAAGAGAATGTGAAACTTATTGTTCATTTTCTTGTTTTAAGGTGGAAAATGTAAAAAGAAGCTGAGAAAGAGGGTACAGAATAGTTGAAAAGCTCCTATAAAGAGGATTTAGAATACCGCTAACTGATCTTTATTGCTTTTGTGCTCACATGCAACATTTGACAAACATGACAGATCTATCTAAATCAGACAAATATTTTCAAGACAAATTTGGTCTGGGATAAGCAAAATACTTCTTAGCTTGGAATATTCCTAATCTTAGAAATTGAACAACAACTGAACTGAGGTTCCTCAAAATGTACCTTTCATATAAGAGAGCATCTGTAGATTGCAGAATAAAAAAATTAAGGAAATCACTGATAGAACTTTCAGACTGCGCATACTTCCTACCTCTTCATTATCAAAAAGAGCAATCATCCGAATTGAATTCTCATTTGATAAATCTTCGGGCAAAGCACATGAATCAACAAGAGCTCTCAAACCACAAAAGCTCGATGCAAGATTATCCAGTCTTCCAGAAAATATGAACTCATTATTAGCACCTCCAAGGCAGCTAGGTTGAGTATCACAAATATTTAACTCAACACTAACTATGTCTTCAATTTTACAGCTGAGTTCATCTGACAAGATCTGCGATCACAGAGCAATACATCAATGTTCATATCATGCAATCCAGAATACCCTTCGCCCGTCATTTAAATCATGTAACAAATTAAATATGTTGGAAACCAGATAGAAGAACAGAACAGAAGCAGACTCATGATAATGCCAAATGAGAAGTGTGTAACAACAAATCAGTGCTGCTACCACCAAAAGCAAGTAAACTAATATAGACAAGGCATTCTAATAAACACGCATGTGACAAAAACAGCGACGCTATCTACTGAGAATCGAGAATCAAGAGAGCTTCCAGCTTCTCCATCATCTAAAGTATGGTCACTAGATATTTGATGCATTTGTTTTTGGAGACTACTAACAGCTATAGCTCTGTGTTTCAGTTGGTTATCCTTAAAATGGACGATGTTCTGATCCACCAAGCTTGAGCCTTTAAATAAGCTCATGGACAGAATTTTTCCACAGAAGAAGGTAAAGAACCAGCTTTTTGTGCCTTGAACCTCAGCCATTTAGCTACCCAGCTTGACCACTTGGCACATTATTTTAACACTCTGAAAGTATCTCTTATATGCTGAATGCTGATCAATACACAACAGATTTTCAAAACAAATCTTGATTGGAAGCAACATAGAAACAGAGGGTCAAAGCATTCACAGTCTTTGACCAGGGAATGAAATAATGAGGAACCCATAGGTTAGTCTACATATGAAGATTAATAACATGATCAGGTAATTCCAGGAAAAAATGCCGAAAGGAGTTCCTCTTTTTCGTGTCAGTCAAAAGATTTCTTCAAGTATCTATGGATTGACCATGAAATCAAGAAATTTCTTGGACTACAAGTCAGATTTAGTTTACATAATATGAACAACTACCTTAAGAAGGAGTTGATGATGAACGTCTTTGGAAGAAGACACATTACTTTTCTCTGTGGAATCAGCAGTTGCATTCTCCGTCTTTGTTGCCAGTAGTGGAATAAGGTGAGTCTCAAGGTTTGGCTTAAATCCATCCTGATTCACCGTTCTACATGCCAGGAAAATTGACAGCGCAGAGGAGATATCAGCAAAGCCGTTTATAAATGTGCTTGATTGCCATTTATGTTGTGGTAACACAAATTAAAGATCATTGACAACTACATAAATCTGCTTGATTGCCGTTTATGTTGTGGTGACACAAAATTAAAGATCATTGACAACTGTCACTGAAGATTGACCAGTTTAGCAAAAGATAAATCAAAAGAGATCCTCCATCAAGGTTACCCTTTATATTTCGTTTTTGATATTTGTCACAATCTAAAGAAGAGAGGATAACCTAAGAAGGAAGCAATTTTTAACAATATTTCAATGAAGGCAATTTATGCATATCATAAAGGTAATGCTACTAGAACAAGATTCCTTTTTAACTACTCCCTTTGTTTCAATTTTTGTGTTTTAGTTTGGCACAACACGGAGTTTGAAAAAGTAAAGAAGATCTAAAATATTGAGGTCTAAAACTAAAGATGTGTATAATGTACCAGAATATCCTTTGAATCTTGTGGTGTTAAATGTCATGTGGATGTTGAAACTACTTTTTCTTAAAAGGGCAGGGCTGCCCAGTGGGAAGGGCTGGACCATAAGGCTCTATTGTACACAATCTTACCCTGCATTTCTACAAGAGACTATTTACACAGCTTGAACCCGTGACCTCCTGGTCATATGGCAGCAACTTTACCAGTTACGCCAAGGCTCTTCTTCAAAGTAATTAGTTCCTAAATATAAAAAGTGACTAGTTGAGTGAAACAAGAAGGCAGAAATGGAGTGGAAGGGATAAAAACTTTCTTTCTGTTATGTGTTTACTAATGTTAGAAAGGAAAAATTCAGAAGCTAGCTTAGGTATTGCACTAAGCGGATCAAAACTAGAACATTTTTGGAGAATTTCAGCCAAGTCCAGACAAGGGCCTGTTTAGATGGACTTACATAAAGTAACTTATAAATCAAAAGTTGAAAGTCATAAATAGATAGTACCCTACTTTTGACTTATTTTAAAACTTTTTTGGCCTAAAAGTGGGTGCTCAAAAAGCACTTTATAACCTTTCCAAACACCTCCAAAACTAAAATAAAAAACTACTTAGAAGTCAAAAACACCTAAAAATAAGTTAATCCAAACGGGCACTTACAAAATTTTGAAAAAATCAAAAAAAGGGAAAAAACAGTCGACTTTTATTTGGAGAAAAAATTCCAAGATGTTGTTCTCATTATGCTACAGGTGATAAGAACACTTGACCGTATATTAAGCATAAATTAAAATCTGTACCGGTTATAGTAGCTGGTGTGTTTTTGAGAGCACGTATCTTTACCAGCTGCTTTGCACAAAATAATTGCATAATAAACCTAACAGCCTTATCCGGAAAACCAACAACAATTAAACAAGCTAAAAACATATTAATTTTGTCGGATGATATGTTAGTTAGAACATGTCTCAAGGGAAGGAGGAGGTAAATATGTCTAGAGTGTTGAGAGAAAAACTTGGGCACTTAAGGGCATGGAGACGTACTTCAGTCTCACATGCAACTATTAGCACTCCTAAATTCTGAAGCTTGCGCTAGATATTGAAAGACTGAAGTTTAATCAATAAAAGAGAAGCAGAGATCAGATGTTGTGGATCCCACAACATAAGTAGGTTTAACTTTTCATTTAAACTATTCATTATTATCCACCAGATTTCAGATATAAGTGCTTAAAAGACTTGCTATATGCCTTGGACCAATTAGCCTTATTTAATGTGAAATTTAAATCAAGTAGATATGTAAGTCACTTCTGGGAGAAAGCTATTCAAATTTGCATGAATATTCCCATCCGTATTCTAACACATATTGACACATTGCTGGACCAATTTGAACATACTGCAATTATTATTTCTCCAGTTTAAAATTCCTCTACCAGGTGTCATAGGTAAAGAAGGATGAAGCTCACTCTCAACTTCAGCATGCAGGAGTTACCAGCTCCAGTTTCTTATTGTGTTTGTTCTCTGCGGTCTCAAAGCAATACCTTAGATGGCAGATGATAGCAAGAAATAAAGGTTCTGTTTATCTATTCAAGAATGTAACATCCCTCTCGCCACAAACAAAGAGCAGGAAAAACAATAAGAAAAAAAAAAACTTCAGCGGAAGGCAACAGACCTATTAAGATGAATAGCCAACGTCGGCACTCGCAAAAGAGGCCTTGTTATTTTCACAAGCCTATGCAGAAAGGAACCATCATCATCTCTTAGAATAACCCTCCCAGCTACACTCAAATCCCGATCAAACCAAGTGTGCCATAGCCCACCACCATATGTCTGCACATTGACCATAAGATAGCCAGATTTGGTTGATGCAGACTTTGGCTTTAGTTTTAAACATGGGCTATCTGTGTGAGCAGCAATCACGTGAAATCCATCACCAATAGAATACCTGCAAAGCTAATTCATGTATCTGATTAAACAACGTAAGAATGTAACTCCTAAAGGAGGAGGGAATAAATGGCTGAAAGAGTTCAATATTAGTTCCTAGTGTAGAGATTAAAATGGATGAGACTGATAATGTATAGAGAGAATGCCCCTTGATCTATAGCCGGTTTCTACTTGCAGAACATTCCGTTTTTCAATTTGGTTTCTACAGGCTCATATGTGTAAGGAGCATTGCATGACTAATTAGCAACTGTAGTGTAACCTTTAGGAGGTATTTAGTGCTTGCTCACTTCTTTCCAATGGCAAATGCAACCAAAGAGGACATGTTCCGTGTAAAGAAATAACGCCCACCAGGCTGCAGATCCCATTTCTCATTTTCTTTCAGCAGATGAAATCCAGCAGCAATTAATTGTCTTTTTGCTTCAGCTATTACAAAGAAGAAAGAACATGTTCAAATAGTGAGCAGGTGAAAATAGAAGTTTGAGTTGACTGCAATAAACGACAATTCAAGAACTCTATTTAAGAGATCTGTACACTCTCCATACACGCCTGTAAACAGAAATGCTCTCACACCAAGACAAAGTTCAAACATTTGGACTGCCTAAGAGTCATACACATAAAAACAAATTCCATGCAACTCAGATTAACATATACTCTTGCCTGAAGAGTAACCACCGCAGTCGGCAAAAACTAATATTTGAGAAGCATCTAATGAAATGAGGAAAGCTCACCCATTCATTAGAAACAAATCATGCAAAATAAAATGGTGAATACTACGTTTATATTAAGTGGCCAATCAACTTATGCAACAAACCATATCTATATATGATAATATCATAAAAGTGACATCATAGTGGCTATAAAAGCACAACTGAACTTTTTTTCCATAACGGTGATGTTTGGATCAGTGTGCGCAGACCAAGACTAATTCCAAGGGGTACTTGCTATCTCCAACCAGCACAGGTACCAAGTAACATTATCTACAAAGGCTTGGACAAATGAAAAAAAGCACCTTAGTGTTTTTGCCTCTGCTCTAATTTGAAATGAGACTTGTAGTTCTCAACCCATTTCATTAAACATGAGGCCACACCCTTGGGTGACAGCTGAAACCAGTTAAAGATGCTAAAAGAAAAAATAAGATACTACATTTCTTAACTTGTACAGTAGATACACCACTCAAGTCAACAAACGCCATCAACAAACCAGGGTTGTCTCCTACATTTCTTACTCCTATTTCCATAATCATCTTAGCTCTGCTGTCTATCCTATTACAACAAGTATATAAACAAAACAAGTCCAAATAAAAAATTCAAAATATTTTGAAATTTCACTAACTTAAAAAACTGTGGGGTGAATTGCGAACCCAGGTCCTTAGAAAAGGCAGAGGTGCATCAAGGATGCATGCTTAAATTTAATACATTTGAGTGACCGTGTTCCCTTGCTACGGGTGTGAATGTAGAGAATAAATCCTTCATGATCTAAATTTTAAGATTTGGGGATACGGATACAGGTGCGGTGATTCGATTAAAAATATTTCAATATCTAAAAATAGAGTTATATGTCTAAATTATGAGACATGGAAAACTTACAAGGTATTTCAAGGAAAAAATATTGATCAAGAGGAGATTCCAAAAGGAGATAAAAGGAAAAGGACTGACATAGAAATTTCTATATACAAGCTATTCCTTATTATTCAATTTCACCTAAACTTTTGTTTTGATTACAAAAATCATAGATGCTTGTCCTGAATCTCTCCCTTGATTTTGGTCAAAATTCCCAAAATTGATTGACCAAAGCCGGTACAGATCCACGCCCATGTCGTGTCGACATTGGTGTGGCACCGAAAGTGAAGGTTCCAAGCAACTTATATGGTCACAAAAATAATGAAACATATGGATACATGCACAACATATTCTCCTATACATGCTCAACATGCGTAGTGGAGACATAAAGGTTATGCACTTCAACAGCTTGATGAATCACATAAACTGAATAGCAATATTGTGAAGCAAATAGTAACCAGAAAACAAAAGGGAAGTACTAACCAAGATTACACAACCGATAGTTCATTAAGTAACAAATTTCATAGGTAACCTTGTATTTGTAAACCAATAAATGTTATACAAGAATCAACTAGAAGATATTACTTATAACAAAATTCTGTGAAGGCAAGGCCTCAATCACAGACAATGCACCAACATAGAAAGCTAAAATTATGTGGAAAAATAAAAGATGCAACAGATATGGAAGGGGTATGCCATAACGGGCACACTCATAGGTTGAGATCAGATCAGGAGGAGCGACTACAGCTACTCCAAACGTTTCGAGAAGAATGGCTCAAGACATGTTAAATATATTGAAACATGGTGGGTCATTTGGTTCACGTGCTAGTTAAAGGAATTGTAGTGTAGAGATATTTTATGCGGAAACAATAATGAAGGAATTGTTATACCGTGAACAATATTTTAAGGACTAAGGACTGTTATGTTGTGTCTAATAACATCACAGAAAATATTATGTAGGAATGACCCACGTTAAGGGTATTTTTGTCTTTAAAACTTCTATCTGAGTAATACATGCATTTTTGTTCTACTCTTTATGTCACAAAAATAATACATGGATTCTCGCAACTTAATGCGAGTAGTATTTATTACGGCCAACCAAAGGTTCGCTGCATTGATCGTGCGGAGATTAATTTTTCTTAACTAATAAGTAATAAGTTTTCTTAACTAATTAGTAGTAAGTAAATGTTGCATTAATTATGCTAGGAATAATTATGTTAGGATAAAGTTGTTGCTTGAACTCTCCAAAACTGTTGTTGCACCAGTATTGCATCCTTCGAATATGCACTACTTTTTGAGGATCTGACACATACCCATCAACATTATTTAAGAGTCCGAACAACATATATTTACCTAATCCAACCAAACAGAACCCCTAAATGTTAAGCACAATTGCTTAATTTTTTAGTTAGAGGACAATATTCGGAAATTCTTTTAAGTCACTAGTCCTCGCAGCATTTTCCAATAAGATAAACTGAGACCACAAACTCTAGAGACTTGTTATAATACAAAAGCACCTTGTTAGATATTCACTCAGCTGCTTGATCATGTCACCTGATCCATGCTGTGAAGTGTTTTTGTCGTTAAGTCCCCATAAAGGAAGACCATAAAAAAATCTAGGAGACTGCTCCTTTGTCCTTATCCTCAGGAACGTGAAAAGAGAGGAAAAAAGAAGCTTCACATGGACAACAACGACTGCTTAAAAAGCGGAAAGTTCACGCATAAAAACTTTGTATACACTATACGCATGTATTTATCATGATTTTCTGTTCTTCACCCACATTTCTATTGCTCTTCGAGAAATTATATAATAGAAACCTCTAATTAGAAAGTTCAAACATTTGATCCACATAACTAGATCCATATCAGGGGACCATAACAACTTGATAGGAGAGACGGGAGTAATGGGAGATCTAAACCAACAACAATTAGCACAATTGTTGGCTTTGTACCAAGAAGCAAATGCTACCAGTTCAGCAAGACTGGAAGACTTGAATGCTCGCTTGGATGCACTAACGAAGGATTTAGCAAATTTAAAGGCAGATGTTGAAGCAATTGGTAATGGCAATCAAAATCAAGGTTGGAAAGGTAAAGCAGTGGCTGCAGGTTCAAGATCAGAAACAGGTGGGAATTCCATGATTCCTAAACATATAAAGTTGGATTTTCCACGATTTTGTGGCCAAGAAGATCCCTGGGGATGGATGAACACGTGTGAGCATTACTTTCAACACCAACATACACAAGAAGAAGAAGAAATTGGACTTGCTTCTTTTCATTTGGAAGGAATTGCACAACGAGAGACGGGAGTTATGGGAGATCCAAAGCAAAAACAATTAGAAATTTTGGCTTTGTACAAAGAAGAACGTGCAACCAATTTAGCAAGGCTGGAAGACTTAAATGCTCGCGTGAATGCAGTAATGAATGAATTAGCAAATTTAGAGGCATATGTTGAAGCGATTGAAAATGGCAATCAGAATCGAGGTTGGAAAGGTAAAGTTGTAACAGCTAAAAAAGAGACTTGTAATGAAGGGTTTAAGAACGGTGGAAGGGTTCAAGGACGGTGGAAGAGTCCACGGTCAGGGAACCCATCCTTGAACTCAAGCCTTGTGAAAAAAATTCTAAAAGGCAAGGGTCTAAGGAAGGTGGAAAAGTCCATGGTTGAGCCCATCCTTGAACCCAAGCCTTGTAAAAATTATAATAAGGCATGATTTACGGACAGGTTCAAGGACGGTAGAATGGTCCACGAACCGTGGAGATTGACTTAGAAAAATAAAACTCGCCAGTTATTTTTTCAAGGTTATATGGGTCTTTTCTTATGCATCTAATACCTAAACTAGGTCGTTTTAATCCTTAGCCTAGACCGTATATAAGTCTTTTAAGCCTAAAAATTAACCATTCTAAATCACTTTTTAAATTTCTCCAAATCCCTTCAAGCTTTTCCCCGAAAATTTCTCTCTCTATAAAAGCTTGAAGAAGAAGACTAGGATTTCAAGATCAAGTCTCCAAATTCAAAGTATGATAGCTTTTATCCATGGAGCCCTTTCCTCCATGGAGTTCCTAAATTCTCCAATTTACAAAGTTAGAAATCCCAATTGAGTTAGAAAATCACTATTTCGTGGGATTTAAGTTTCGCACCGACAGGATATTAAGATGGGAGCTCTCCCGTTAGTAGAGGTCGGGTTTCTAGAAGCAATCTCTTAAGCCCATACTTATGTGTCCCCATAGGATGATTGTCTTAGATAGACATTAGCTAGTGGATCCACATAAGCTAGAAGTTCATGGTCTTACCTTGACGAGTATGACACCCCTTTTCGGTGGTCTTATATGTCGATTAAAGGTAAATCTCCCACAATAATGAACTAAGGTTACTTCAAGAACTATCTCACATGTGACTTAAGATGATGTTTATTTGCATTGACCATGTTTTGAGACTTATGTCCTCTAGTTATTTTACATTCATGATTTAGCATGGTCATCGCACTTTATGAAAATGTCCATTTTTCATGTTTTCAAATGTTTTGTGCATGGTTGTCATACTTGGTACATATTTTGTACTAACACATACTCTTGTCTACATTTCCCCAAATGTAGGGACCGACCTTACAGATTCGCACTTTCGTGGCTAGGGATCTCATATAGAAGATTGAAGTTTGGTAAGTCCTCATATTCTGAGGACCGAGCTTGATTCCCATTTTGTCTTAACTTTTCATTTTGAAACTTGATGTACGGGCTACGCCCCGATATATTCTTATGTACTAGATGGCTTTGAGAGGATGTTTAAATTTTTTAAATTTTCGCTTTTTTCTATAAAACTATTATATGTTGAAACTATCTTTTAATCTGTTTATTCTATTTTATTTTTTTTTGTATAATGAACGCTAAGTATCTTGTGTGGGGCCTCTCGGGGTCCTATACGCCATGTTACGCCTGGGGGCCACATTAGGTCCTGACAAAAGAAGTAGTGGTTGTAGGTTCGGGAACAGAAACGGGTGGGAAGTCCATGAATCCTAAACATACAAAGTTGGATTTTCCCAATATTGTGGACACTAAGACCCCTTGGGATGGATGAACAGGTGTGAGCATTACTTTCAATACCAATATACACAAGCAGAATAAAAAATTAGACTTGATTCTTTCATTTGGGAAGAATTGCACAACTCTGGTTTCTTCAACTAGATAAAGATATGCCTCAATATACTTTGGATGAGTTCAAACGTCAATGCAATTTTTGTTTTGGACCATCAATTAGAAGTCAAAAGTTGGGAGAATTGGCTAAGTTATGTCAAATTGGATCTGTGGCAGATTACCAAGAAACGTTTGAGCAACTGGTTTCACGGGCTGGCACTCTTACACAAGCGCAAAAAAGTGAACTTTACATTAGTGGTCTTGCTAATTATATAGCAATTGAGGTAGAGTTGCATAATCCTCCAGATTTGGCTACGCGATGAGTATTTTGACTTTATGAACGCATGGAACAACCCCTTCATTCACAATTATTTGGTCCAAGCAAAAAAATGCTAGCAAATTAAGACACATTAGAAAGTGAAAAACCATCTCAATAATTACACATTAAAAACTGCAATCAGAGGCTATAGAATATAGCACCTTAGTATAATCATAAGACCAGAAGAAGTTGAACCTTCATAAATATACCTGTAGCATGAAACTGAGTCCATGATTCATTCAGATAGTCCAACAGGTCACCAACAATTGACGTACTTGATTCAGAACTTTCGGGAAACTGCATTCCAATTAAGAAAGTTTCAACAAAACTGCTACTATTGATGAATATATTAGCAAACACTCCCTCTGTCCCAATTTGTTTGCCACCTTACAGTTTAAAGTGTCGGATCATTCTCTTTTTTCAACAGTCCTATCAACTAGATGATATATTAAATTTTATTTTTTTTTTGAGAAGGGATATACTAAAAATATTTTCAGCTATTAGAAATGGGCTTTGCAGCACTTCTTATATGACAAGCATGTACTGTTATTTCCAAATGTTAATCATAAACCAACTTTAGATGAATTGACTCTAAACACCGAAATTAAATGATTTAACTCAGAATTACCAACTCTCGTACTATGAATCATGCCATTTTTTATTTCTAACAAAAAGGTACTGAAGACTTGATTTTCAAGTTCACACCAAAAAACTTTTAGGTGAATCGACTCTCACACACAGAAATTAAATTATTTACTCAGAATTACTAACCCTCTTACTATGAATCATCCCTTTTCTTTTTGTAAAAGAGGAAGTATTAAAAACTTAATATTCGAGTTCACAACCAAAAAAATTGGGTGAATTGACTCACACACCTAAATTAAATGACTTACTAACTCTGAGTTACTAATTTTCTTACCATGAATCATGCCATTTTTTATTTACTAACGACAGATACGAAAAACTTGACGTTCGAGTTCACACCAGTTTTTTTTAGGTGAATTGACTCTCACACACCGAAATTAAAAGAAAACTATGAACTACGAACTCTCTTAATACGAATCTTGCCATTATTTTAAAATAAACTAAGTTAAAGACTTGATTTTTGAGCTCACACCAAAACTTTTTTTTTAGGTGCATTGATTCTCACACACCGAAAAGGCGAAAACAAATGATTTAACTCTGATTTACTCACTCTCTTAGTATGAATCATGCTACTTTACTAGATATAAGAATGTATTAGAAACTTGATATTCGAGTTCACACTGAAAACAAATAGGTGAACTGACTCTCACATGCCGAAATTAAATGATTTAACTCTGAATTACTTAAATTTTCTTACTATAAAGTATAACCATACCATTATTTATTAATATATATAAACTAAGGTATTGAAAACTTGATATTCGAGTTCATACCAAATTTCCTTTTTAGCTGAATTGCATTTTGTATCCTTGTAGTCCGAATTACATCATTCTTTTTCAGGTGAAGAAAGTAGTAAGTAAATTTACACATAGGAAGAGAAGATTGACCTCGGGAATTGAGCCGGAGCTGGAGCAGAGTGGTGATGTGACGGAGAACTTACGGAAATGAATCCGGCAAGGCTTGGTGCTGCTGAAGCTGGAGAAAGACGGTGAGGTTTGACGAATTTTTGAGAAAAATGCTGAGGGTTTGGAGATTGGATATGGTTGGAGGAATTGGAATCGAGCTATGGCCGCCATTGTTGCGCTACTGGATTGAAGCTTCGAATTTGAAGGATTGGGCGAAATCTATTACTATATATTTTATTTATTTCTTCAAAAGAGAAATTATTATTTATTAGTACCAAAAAAAATATTATTAGAGAACTTGATAAAATACTTTTCTAATTTTTCGAAACTTACATCTTGTTTGGAGAGTTATTATGAATTGTATGAGTTAGTTTTAATATAATGTTTGTTTTAATTGATTGTTTAAATTTATTTTATTATATTACATATATTTTATCAATTTTGTGTGATTTCATTGTTAAATTTTTTCTTATTTTAATTTAATCTTTATTTATTATTTATTTTATATTTTTCGAATACTATCTTTAAATTACTGAAATGATGACATTATATAATAGTGAAAAATAAGTTTATAATATTATAAAATAATATGGAATAATTATCAAACAAAATAGTAATAATATTTATGTTTGGCAATGAAATCACATTGTTAATCAAGAAACTTTATTGAATTGAATAAATCAATAAACAATTGTTTCAAAAGAAAATACATACTAGCTAAAGTACTTGATTAATACTTAATAGTATATCCTAACAATCTATTTGTTTTTATTTGTGATTGACATGTGAATTTATTTGTAGACGTAAAATAAGAAATGAATTATTCCGAAAAAAGAGTCGTGACTAAGGACAAGATGAAAATATTGTGATGATCGAACACGTGAAGAAACGACATATGAAAGTTTCAGTTCGAAAAAAAATTATGAATAATTCCAGATAAAACAAAGGTGAATTGAAAAAATATCAAGAAAATGTAATTACACAACTATAAAAATATGCTACGTCAACAATCTATATTAATAGTTATAGTTGTTCTTCAAATTCTGTTACTATTAATTACTTCTATTACAATAATTATAATTATTCGACCTTTTCAAATCAATTCTCATATTATTTTTTTAGAAATTAATTTGATTAGCTTTTAATAAAATTTTACTCAATTAAATCAACTTGATATTTTAACTAAATTTAGATTCAAAATCTATAGAAAAGTATAAATTACATTTAAAAAAATATACATCTATAGATGTTTAAATATCAATCTAATTAATTAATGTGACAACCAATTTGAGGCAAAACAAAATAAATTATAATTATTATTTTTGGCTGGAAAATTATTAAAAATATTTCATTTTCATACGATTCATAATTTTTCTGTTTTATTTTTTATTATCATTATTATTATTATTATTATTATTATTATTATTATTATTGTATTTGATTTGATTGCCTTAGCCTCAAAGCTTTCGACTTCTCTCTAGATCTTCAATTACTATTGGAAAAATTATTCAAATTATTCACTTAATTTGATCTCCGATCAATGGCGAAGGAATTTAACGTCCCGCCGGTAGTTTTCCCGTCCGGCGGAAACCCCGGTCCACAACAACGTCGGCTTCCAACGGCGCCGTTTCAACCACCGAAGTCATCGAACCCTGGGATACCTTTCATGTCCTTTGATGTAGGGTCTGCTGCTGCTTCCACTTCATTTTCCACTCCACAATTCGCATCCACCACCATCGGCGGCGGAGGATCGACGGGTTTTGAAGATGAGCCACCGTTGCTGGAGGAGCTTGGAATTAACACAAAGCAAATTTACCAAAAAACTATATCGATTATGAATCCATTTCGGGTTAAAGCAGATCTTCATGAAGATGCTGATCTCTCTGGACCGTTCATATTCCTTATGGCGTTCGGGCTTTTCCAATTACTTGCTGGAAAGCTTCATTTTGGAATCATATTGGGATGGGTAATCATGGCTTCGTTGTTTCTCTATGTAGTCTTCAATATGCTCGCCGGCAGAAACGGGAATTTGGACTTGTACAGGTGCGTCAGCCTGATCGGATATTGTATGTTGCCTATAGTGATTTTATCGGCTATCTCATTGTTTTTGCCTGGTGGATTGGTGATCAAGGTGGTTACCGGAGTTTTTGTGTTATGGTCAACTCGAGTTTGCACTAGGCTTGTGGTTGAACTTGCATCTTGTGGAGATGAACATCGCGGGCTGATCGCGTATGCTTGCTTCTTAATTTACATGCTTTTCTCTTTGCTAGTGATATTTTGAATCAGATTAATGTGTTAGTATATTGCAGTTTATAGCTTGATCATTTTTTGTAATACCTTTATTAACTTGTGAGGTTAGAGTTTGTTAGTTCCATTTGCTATAGATGAATATAATGAACTGAATCATGTAGTTTTAAATTCACAATTTGTTATAGTTGGAAGAGAGTTGTGGTTTAGTTTCTTCGTATTTTGTCAAGCTTTCAAATTTCTTGAGATTTCAAGTGTTAAATTGAGATGTACTTGTGTATACGGGGAGTTCGTTATTACTAGGTCTGAAAGGAGCTATTTTGTTTGAACTTCCTGCTTTTTGCCTACGATATCCAGAAGTTCTTGTGAAGTTTCTTCAATATTCGAGTGGTAGTTTCCTTCCTTTTTTTAGCCGGAGCCTAGAAATTACCTTCAACATTGTTGTTGATATGTTCTGGATGTTGTAGTCCACTTTGGTTGGAAGCTATTAAGATTACAGAAGGTTTGATATATTCGTGAGATGCAGCGTAAGAAAGAATAAGTGAAATTACAATAACTACATGGATGGTATGAGCGATGGTGGTGGATGTTTATTGAGTTCTTATGTATCGTCTGTTAACGTGCCTTCTTATCTGCATAGACAACTAAATAGGGTGATTTAGGTTCATGGACATTCACCTCTTTATGCATATACCATAGAAGTTTAATGCCAATTTGTGATGGTAAAATTTGCTGGAACAAGCTAACGATGATGACACTGTTCCAACGAATTAGTAAAAATGTGTGAGTATTTGATTTGGGTTGCCAACGATGAGTTTCTTGAGGCAATGGAGGCATTCATTTTGGGGGGGTGGGGCACGGGGCAGCTGCATGTACCCTTTAACTTTATGATTACAACCTCTTGACTCGGCTATTTCGCGTTGAAGCTTATATTTCTTACCCCCAGAACCCACCTACTACTTTGTTTTAATAACTACTAGTAAGTTCTTCTTCAAGTGCTAGGTCCAAATATTCAGATAGTCTCATGGTTAGAGATTTTAGGTATTGAAGACATACTTGTTAATGATGGTGTTAATTTGTTAACTGTTTATTCTTTGGTTGTAAGCTTATGGCAGATTAAACTCGATTGTTAATCAGTGAGGAGTGACTGTGTCGTATGTAATAAAGAATCTAACAGGTTTTTTGAGGTAATCAAGGACTTTTGAATGAATAGTTTCTTGTTTAAATAAGATCCATAAAGTACACGGTTGTGCATTTACATAGGCACGGAGACCATCTCTTGTACAGTATGTAATGCTTACTTTCACCCATTAATTTTGTCTACAGAAGTGTCAACATGTGAGTGATATTGTAAGCTGTATGGTGTTAATAAAGTGTTTTGCATTTATGCAGTTTACTGGACAAGCTGTTTTTACCTTATAGACTAATGGATTCTGCACAGGTTCAGCTTAGTCATCTATAAATACTTAATGTGGTGGATCTAACATCAAGGTTAATGTTGTTTTCACATCAATGATATTATTATGTTACCAAAGAAGCACTTCTTTTGGTGACCTACTTGCTTCTTTATCTTTTACCTGGTTTGTGAAAAGGTTATACTCATGTAAAGGATCCGTTTGTCGGATTTGTTTTTGTGATGAAGTGAAGTAGCTGTTAGTTGGAAAATTGGTCACTGAGCTTGTTTCGCCTGCTCTCTCTCACTTACAAGAACTGAGAATGTCAATCATGGGACTCTATACAAAACATCCATATGTGGACCTATTTGCTATTTTGTTTTGAGCTTATATTGCTGAAAGGAATTATCATTGATTTCAGCTTTCTCACTCTCTTTCTGTCGTTATTTTTTTTTATTTGCTACAAGAATAGTTTAAGTGCAAGCAAAAGCATCAGTTTACCAAGAGACTGGAGCATACTATAGCATTTTTCTGCTATTGTATGTGGTTCTGAACCACTGGTTCAAGCAGATTGTGCTGTTCTTTGGTGTTCATTCTGTCATCGTTCTTTTTCATCTTCTGGCCTGTGCATCAGAAACTTTCCTCAATGTCTTTGGCTTGTTTGTTGTCTATACGCGACTCTCCATTCTGTTATAATGATTTTTGTGGGATCTGCATAGGCCAGATTGATTGTGCAAAGAACTGTTGAAATGCTCTTGGTAGTTATTTCCTGAACATAATTTCCTAGTAAAAATAGGAACATGAGTCCATACATCCTAACACACATATTTCACATATAACTATGTGAATCATATATGTAAATTACAGCAGTGTAATCCCACTAGTGTCACAAGTGGAGTGGGGATTGGGGAGGGTAAGATGAACGCTAACTTGACCTTTGTGGGAGTAGTGAAGTTGTTTTCGATAGACTGTCAGCTCAAAAAGTGAATTTATTCAGGAAAAAGGTTGCAGGAAGAGAAAGAAATGACATCAAATAATTAAGCTACAGAGCAAAAGATAGCTAAAAACATTGAGGAAGAAGAAACTATGTGATTACTAAGTAACTAATGAAAGACGATAATATGAGGTTACTCCCTACCTCTCCCACCCTCGTAACAGGAGACCGTACCTGCTAACCTTCTATTATAATCTACAATGCATGACATTGCAGTCTAAACCATGCAAGTATAAGTACTTTTTTAACAACTTAGTAATTGACTACAAAGGCAGTTTCCATTCAGTTTCTTGATATCGTAAGTTTCATTTTGTTTGGTGTGGAAATAACCTAATGCAATTGAAAAAGTCGTTATGAATTATGGTTTGCTCAAGGCATATGGATAAATTTATTTCAACAGTAGTCGAGATAGTTGCTGTTTGTGAACTTGATTTTTGATGCTTCTTGTATGTATTTTGAGTAATTCTCATTCTCCCACATTGGTATCTAAGAGAAAATTGGAGCAAAAACAGTGGTATTAATAATGGGCTGAGCTTACAGGATTACATACTTACCTGGACGGGGTCAATGGGCGATCATTAAGACCCATGGCCTAGGCTTGTGACCTCCATTGCACTTTGGAGGGGTGCCTGCCTAAGGTTGGCCCAAGTGGTCGAGCCTACGTCATAATTTGTTGCTGTGGGGGCCTGCGTACGCGCAGCCCCTGCCCAATTCAAAAACCAAATGGTTTTTTGCACTGTAATGCCAACTCTGGCCATACAGTTTTCTACCTTAGTCCTGGCTTCAATGAGCAAATTCTGAAAACACAAACCAGCTTCACTATCATACAGCTGAATCGATAGTACATATGGTCGAACCGATTGATGCACAATTCCTAAATCAAAATTCAAAGTACCTGACCCAACACTATCGTAAAACTATAAAATGTTGCTATAAATCGTCTACACTGTTAAAATCATGTGAGAACCAATGCTTCGGTTTATTACTAGTTATTCATTTACTTTTTTAACAGCCAAAATGTCTAAATAGTGACTGCCAAAGACGAACCCAAACATTTAACTAAGCTTGTGTTAGAGAAAACGTATTTCGATTTTCTTTGTTACTCATTTCCTCCGGGGTCTTGATACCTTCACTTAGGGAGCAGTCTGTCAATTGCAAAAAGATAACCACCTACAACAACAAAGGAAGCAATTCCGCTCCGTGCCATCCGCAATCCCAAGCCACGATATAAGATGTTTCTATCTGCAGGATGAATCCCGGTCCATCTCTCAAATCTCTTCCCGGGCAGTTGAAATTTGAGAAACCTTCTCTCCATGGATACAAACTGTACATAAGGAGTGTTAAGGGAAGGAGGATAAATCACAAGGCCCGGAGAAAAGAGAATAGCAGAAATGTTTCTACGTAGTATCACAATGACAACCAAGAATCCCATTGTTTATACACCTAAGACGTTGAAAAATCTGAGGACGGCAGGTCAAAAGTAGTTCAGGCTTTTACTTGTGAACAAAAACGTTTGACATCAATTGATGAATTCATGCACAGATCCTGTAACATCAAACAGGGAATGAAGGTACAGATTTGAATCCCTGGAAAGACAACATACCTTGGGCAGCACAATGCATTGTGAACGAGACCTGGCAGTATCAAAACAATGAGAAGCAGCAGCAGCAAGTGAACCAGAGAATCCAGCTGCAAGACTAACAGCTAAAGGGGACAATGGACCAACTTCTTCATCAAATCTGAATGATAACAAGGTAATGGTTAAGAAGGATAAAGTTATTTAAAACTGAGTAGGGCATAGTGTCTATCTATTAAGTGACAAAATACACTTGGTATATACAAATTTTATTTTAGGGGAGAACCCATTTGTCAAGCATAACTCAAGTTGAAAACAACAGAATGCTAATCCAATTAAGTTAAAGCAGCAAGCCTGAAAGATAATTGTTACATTCTTTATTCACCATTTCATGTCTGACATAAACTCAAACTATCTTAGCAGAGTCGATAAAGAGGCCCAATACCATGAAAATTCAGAAAAACCCTCTTCATCAAAAAAAAAAAAAAAAAAAGTTAAGTGCTTATCTTCCTGTCTAAGTGTTGCTAGGCAGAGTTATCTAGTTTCCGTTGGTACCTGGTAGAATAATTGAGGTACACACAAGCTGACCACTGTTATCCCCAAAAACAAGAGTTATGGGGGTAGCCTTTTAAAATAATAAAACCTTTTTTTTAAATCTTCTGTCTTATATTTAATATGGTGCAAAAACCTTGTTAGTCTAATGCACGTTGATTAAGGATATTCTTCAAAAATTACAATATGGGGGTAGACTTTTTAATGTGAGATTGATTGAAACTTTCATAAAGTAATAGGTCACAACATCTCATCCAAACCATTTCTGGGAAAATATAGTCATCCAAACATGAACTCTTTCCCAAATAACTTATTTTCAGAAATATTTTGAAATGCTTCTCCAAGGAACATGTCAAAGAAAACATCCAAGCGCTAGAGTTGAAAACCAAGACTAGAACAAACATTTTAAACAAGTTAACATAAGAATTGAAGCATACCTAGGTGGGGGATTCATTCCAACTGCTTTCCATTCAAGCATTGCTTGATGTAGGATTTGCCATGTTGAAAAGAATATACCACCAAACACACAATCTCGAGCAAGTCCAGCTCTCATACCTCTCCAGAGAGCACCCCATCCTTCCAAAGATATGATCTCTAATGGCCTCTTAACATCAGACACAGATGGGGGTCTACCAGACCCTGTCATCATCCATGGATAATCTTTCAGGGCAGTAACCAAATTGGGATGTTTGGTGGGCAGGGTGGTCAAAAGACCAACTGTGTTGTTCAATACCCTAATGTTCTGGGAATATCCCGGTAGCAACTTTGCCATTGAAGGTGAAATGATGGCCTTTTCGACAACTGATGTGGAGCTGGGAATTCGGGAGGCAGAAGTAACCTGAGCACGGAGTTTAATAAGTTCAAACGGAGAACTTACAAGTGATTCCACTGCTCCAGAAGCAATTCCTGCCAACAGAGCCTCAGAGGCATAGACATACTTGTCTTCTCGGCCATCTGATTACAGATATACACACAATATGTTACCACCAAAACCTATAATAATGAGAAAAGAAGCAAGTGTACTAAAAAATATTCAATTCATTTGTATAATACGGTAGTGCATAATTCCAATATCCCCTTCTTTTAACTGCTATTACTAGCTCCATTGAATAAGATATTCTTCTTTCGTCCCAGTTGAGCTTGTTCAGTTATGGATGGTCAAATTGACCAATTCTTCATTCAATTTGGCATATTGTTCAACTCTTTTTTATGACTATAACATAACATATATACAAAAAAACATGTGAGTGTCTAATTATTGATAGAAAAGGCTCTTAATTCAAGAATTTAACCGTACAGTTGAGAAAATAATGGTTTAACTCCAAAAGCAATGGTTTTTCTTACTCTTGTTTGTTGACATAGAGAAGCTATCAGAAACAGTTCAAGATATGGTCCATGACGGACTGAGGTTGGGAATTTATTAAAAGCCTTTTGTATTGAAATATGATAAAGTGGCTTCAAGATGGAGAACTGTTTCTTTGATGGATGTCAAAATGACCTTTCTTCAAATACTGCATCTCTTATTTCTTTTTTCTTTTTTTTTTGAAACTGGTAAGGGTGTTATTGCATCTCTTATTTCAAGTGATCCTTTCCCAAATGTTTTTTTTTAACGGAGTGAATGTTCCTGAGTTTCCGTTTCCAAGACAAGCATCCAAAGTCTAAACTCACATAATCATGCAAATCTTGTTTGGTCTAGGTTTGGATTTTCTGGTCAGGAAACTGGCGAAAAGGTTAATAAACAGTTAAACAACTGAAGAAATCATACCTTTGTAAAAAGCTGTCATTATTTCATAAACGCCAAAGCGAGCTCCCAAACCCAATGATCTTCCAAGTATCAACCACCCCACACCACTATACAAGCCTTCAATGTTCATAAAATGATCAAAAGAACATTAACATTTTAGAAAGATGTCCATATAAACAGCAGTCTATATGAGAAATTTTATGAAGTTTTTTCATGAGTCTTTTACTAGACTTATAATGCATGTATTTTCTCATCAAAGCAGTAATAAAAAATTGACACGTCATCCAAATAATTTTTTTCATGAGGCAAAATGAGAGAGCAGAGTAGCATCACTTTTAGTTACCATAAAACAAAAATAGCTGATCGAGTCACCTGAACTTCCTGACAAAGTTCTAACCCTATTGAGAACATCAGCACCAGTGAGTTGTTTACTGCTACCTGATCCCACCTGCATTCCATTCCACAGAACATACAACCACAGCACAAGAAGACATTAAAGATGCTGCCCCCCAGTGTAAGATAATACATTTAAGTGAATGTTCATGGTTATCAGCAAATTCCGCACCTGTACAAGGACCTTAAGACTATCTAGAGGGTAACTGATAGCAGTGGCTAATGTAGCAGATCCTGCAGCAACAACTGCATGTGTTGCAAATATTGGATTCTTCAAAAGTTCGTTCATTTGATAGATCGACGTGACACTGTTGCAATTGTTGCTCTCCTTTAGTCACAATCAAATATTCAGAGATTCATAAATTCCTGCAATTCTCATTAGATCAAACACAAAGTGTTAGTACTTCATATGCTCTAACATCCTAATTTTTTTAGAGAAAGGGAAAGAGAGTTCTCTTTTTCTTTTTTCTTCTCCTTTCTATGAACACATAAATGTTCTTCTCTTTTCTTATTCATTTTGAGAAAGCTTATAAATTCTTAGAGTGCAGGGGTAAGTTTATTTTGATACTTGATATATCATTTTGTTTATTTTGATACTTGATATATCATTTTGAACGTTAATAGTTGTGTATTGCTACTTCTATTGAAGCCAAAGTTGGGTCAAGAAGATGTTTGGGGTCCTCGTCAGGTCAAAAAGATAAAGCAAGAAAACTAACAGATTTAAAAACAAATTTTGGGAAAACCAAAAGGTAAATGAGTTTAATTACAGGACAGAAATGGGATTGGTTGAAAATAATGAGGACAATTTGGAGTTAAATCAGCATTTTCAGCTTGCCATTCAAGATGTACCAAGGCCTAAAGCATCAAAACGTGCTAACTACCTAAGATAGCCTGGTCACAGCTGGTTAGTACAGAGGACAGATGCGACAATTGAAAAAGATTGCAGGTATTTTAGACTATAAAGTACCATCATCTTTTCCTATAATTCCCTTGTGTCATGTTCATTAAAAGACCTAGAGCCCATTAGAATTGGCTGAATTTAAGCGGTGTTAAGTGCTAAGTGCTCAAGGTCAGCTTATCAAAGTTCAATGATAATGCTAGAATTAGTCAGTACCAAGATACACTTGATCCAATTTCATTTGGTTAAAGGTTTAAAGGAAAAAAGAGAAAACTCACAGTGTCAACCATCTCACCACAATCTACATTTGATAGAAGTAGATAAACTTGTATAACTAATTTGAACTGGTAATGGTATTTTCTTATAAATCAGCTTCTCAAATTAGCACTCCCATGATATGATACATAACACTTAACAATTTAAATCCCATATTTGTGGTGTCACTGTTTTGGGAAGTTGCACTAGCTAACAAAGAATCTACCACCCTGGCATAAGTTTAAATGGTTTTACATGACAGTAACTGATTATTTTCTTTCCTGTTAGTGCATCACTTCCTCTGACATATTTGTTTGGCACTGAAAAAAAAGAAGGATATTAACAGAGGAAAGACCACTAGACCAACTTTTTCCATCTAGTGCATCAGTCACTGTCATTTTTCTCCTTCACACATTACAATATACATAATTTTTTGAGGTAGAGCATAGAACTGATTAGAAATAAGAAGTCGTACACACCACAATTAAGTTGTTGAACGTTCACAGTGGTTAATTTGTAGAGGAACTTAGTGGGAACAGGAACAAGATTATTGTGATTATTTTAAGGAGTAGATGTTGGCATAAGCAAAACCCAAAGATACAGGATTCAACAAAGAAGCTAGACCAGAATAACCTCCCCCGGATCTAGATTTACTCTTTTAACTACAAGGAACAACCAGTAACCGACTAAGTTCTACTCGGCATGAAAATCATAAAACCTGCAGTTTATCATAATTCTGCTGCTGTTTACTTTTCCTTAAGTCAGTATGACCAAAATTACTACACTCAACTGTGTGTAATCAGTAAAGCTAATCCTATCAGGGAGCAGAATACATTGAATTAGATAACAAAATGAAACTATTTAGCAGCAACTGAGAAAAAGGACAGAAACCAATGTATAATGTGTTGGAAACAGTCTGATTATTGTCAGACCAAAAGGAACATAACACATATTACCAGATTTTAAAATCACCAAAAAATATCTTGGAATCTAACAACATTAGTAGAAAAGATGTTCTAGACCTCAGCAGAGACTAAAAACACTAGGTGACAGAGTTACCTATTGCTGGTGGGATGCAATAGTGGGAGGTGACAAATCTCCTATGGAATTAGTCGAGCTGCGAGAGAGCTGGCCTGAACACCACGGTCATACAAAAAAATGTTCTAGAACTTATCAACTTTAGCTCTAGGTGAGCTATGCAATCAAACATGTATCACACCTTCCTTTTAACAAGCAGCGGCAGAAAAACAACACAGCCGTGAAAGTATCTATTAACATCTGATTTTTATGCAACAATTCATTCAAAAACAACGACTCATTCCAAAAAACAAAAAAAATGCGAGACATTCGTCTGGAGATTGAAAGCACAGAAACACAGCAAATAAATAAGTAAATGAGCAAAAATGAGCTAATATGCAACTGCAACTGAAATCGAAAAATGGATGAAATTAAGAGATTTTTGAGGTTCTAATGCTTCATAATGATAGGGAAAGAGCTTACCATTACTGTCGAAACGCCACTGAAATCGGAGAGAAGAGATGCAGAGATGGAGAAGAAGGAAGACGAAGGAAGAGAAGAAAAATTTAGGGGTTTTTGTCTTCTGAGGGTATTATTGGAATCAGGAAAAAATACGAGGATAAAAAGGTAAAATTATTTATCAAATAAAAATGTTTTTTCATAAGAATTTTAACTTCATGGATTTCAAATTCTAATAAAGGACCATTATTTCAAGTGCCAATAATTAAATTATAATTGATAAATATTAAAATAAATACCCTTTTTAGCAAAATTATTGAATTTCATCTAATTTATATTTAGACTTCTACATACAGATTGAATTGATTTTCATTTTTTCCCCCAACTAGTTAACTGTGAAGGTATGCATAGGATTTACTTTACATTTAATATAGGGATAATGGATAAGTATTTTCTCAATTATGCTTAAAATTTTAGAGACACATTTATACTATATTAGAACTTTTTCGACTTACGTGACACTATCTTGTGAGCGCAACAATGATTGACTTTTTATTTTTCAAGCTAGTTCCACGTAGGTCCAGAATAGATAGAAAATTACTTATAAAATAAGTTTAAGGGGTAATATGACCTTAATATAGTATAAGTGTGTGTCTGGATTTTGAACATATGTTGAGGGAGTATTTATGCATTTTCCCTTTAATATATAAGTAAAGTGAATATATATACCAAATATAAAACAGATCAAAATATTAATATAAAGTGAAACATATAAAATTTAAATTTCTTTCTTCACTATTAACATAAGAAATTGATGCAAGAAATGGTGAAAAGGGTAAAAGAAAACCCCTAACTTAGTTTTGCAAAGAAATAAGTAGATTTATGGTAAAACATAAAGAAAATAAAAGGGTATAAAGCAAATAAAAGAAGGAAAAATTGTTTATAATGACAAACTAATAATTTAATTAAATGTTATAATCACGCTTTGATTTGATTCTGTCCTGTAGAAAATTGTTTGTCAGTCGTTTCTCTCCCTAAACTCTTGCTCGTCACTCTCCATTTCTCGCTCCCTCTCGCTTTTATACAAATACAAATGTCTAAAATGTGTTTGTGTTTGTATAAAGCGAGAGAAAACTGTATATACACATATATTTTCATTTCCCCTCGCATATCTCACTCGTCACTCAACCATATCTCGCTTGCCACACTCGTTTCTCTCACTTATACAAACAGAACAAAATGTATAAATTGTGTTTCTGTTTGTACAAAGCGAAAGAAAATTGTATATACACATGCAAATACATATATCTTCATCCTATACACTTATAATTATACAATACAAATATTATCTGTCTTATTTTCTTTTGTCTTTCTCTCTTTCTTATATTTTACAGACACAAAATATACAATTGATCTTTTGTATATAATATATTGTTTTCTTTTGTATATGTAGAGCGAATTATACAACTGATTTCTTTATATATGTATAGTGAATTATACAATTGTTTTTTGTATATGTACAGCGAAATATACATATTTATGTTTGCTATGGAGCGCGATTATGCAAAGTATAACTATAACATACAAATATGATTTTTATGTTTATTTGTGAAAATTACTCAAAAAAGATTTGCATAAAAATATACATCTTGATTTAAGATTCTGCCGTAAAATCTCATTAAATTAATATAGATGAATCATGAAATACTATTATTGTATAAAGCTATTATTCAATCGATGAATTAATATTTATTAATTTAAAGAGTATTTTGAGATCTAATGAACGTTAATTTTAATTATATCAAAATTATTATATCTTACTAATATATGTATCATGTTTATGAAATTCACATAAAAAATAAATGTGTTTTACAAAGAATACAATGAATGATGCTTGGATACTATCAATTATGCAACCTTGGTTTGGACAACAAACTGATATAGGAAAGTAAGAGACAATGACAAATTATTTTTGATATTTCAAAATTCATTCGGACGATGAAATCTCAGATAAGTTGAATGAACCATTTGTGAAAACATCATTCATAAACTAGAAGTCATGATTAATGATCTCGATTATAGCAATAAAATAGACAAAAAAAAATTGTTGAATTACCTAGGTGAAACCGATAGATGTTCAGAAGTTCAAAGATTAGAAGAAATTATAGATACTGTAGGAAAAATCAGGATTGATAATGAAGTCGAGGGTGATACAATATCTATGGAACCAACAGATTGCATATAAAAAAAGTTAAAGATTAGCGTCACTTAAATATAAATTTTAACTGAAAACAAAACACAATTGAATCATATTTCATTAAATTATCTATAATTTTATATAATAAATTTACGATATTAATAGGACCATAAATTCATATAAGAATCTTCTAAAAATATGTTATCTTATTATTTTATCAAAATAAATAATTTTTAAATAGCTCAAATTAAAATCGCAGAAAAATATTATCTTAGAAATTATTAAAAGTATCCAACAAAATTGAAATTAAAAAAAAAAAACCAACGGGTCCGTACAAAAAACGCAATGGTTGAACAATGAAGGGTAAATACCAGATTGGCGCTGAGGAACTCACTCAACAATGGGGATAACTTCGACTGAGGAGATTGAGTATGATCAAACGAAAGCTGAGTACAACAATGGCGGAGATTCATGGAGCTCATCAATGAACTGGACGATCTCTCGTGGTTCTCTTGAAGATTCCATTACTTTTGAGTCCTCCGATCCTCAGATCGATGCTGAATCTACTCAGATATCACCGCTTATTCTTCACAGACCTTCGCCGGATTCCTCCCCTTGCGAAATCAAGTGTAAGTGATTTAATCAAAAATATTGTATTGTTTACCAATAATATATCATCGAGTACTTATTTGTGTATGTTGTAATTAATAATTATGCAATTTTGACTGGGTTAGTCTAGTTAGAAACTTGTATATCGGTTTCCGAGCTAGCTTTTATATATCTCAATTAATTTTACGGGATACTTGTCACCTTCACCAGCAATACAAGTAGGAAGAATCACCTGGTAGTTTGAAACGTGAGACCTCATGACTACGAACCACTTCATAGATCACTAGGTCATGCTTTGGATATTTTTAAACTAACTTTGAAATCATGGACACAGATAAAGCGGAAACAATAGAACATCTTTAGTAACAATGTTGTTTTGTTTGGATATTTTTGGGTGCTATAGTGAGATGCTTCATGGAAAACATATAATATAACATAATAGTTGGTTTGGTGGTAGTATCTGTGATTTGCTTGAGCTGTGGTTTTTCTGGAAACAACTTTTATACCTTGTAGAGGTAGTGGTAAGGCCTGCGTACACTCTATACTCCCCGTACCCAGAGATTTCACTGCTTATGTTGCTGTGATTTCACTCAAGTGTTCTAGACTCTAAAATGACCCTTTATAACCAGGATGCTGATTTTAATGTGATGAACTAGCTATTCAATATTTTCTAATGGGTATTTTGAGTTTCGTATCTATGTTTGGGGTTACTGAGGACATGACTCTAGATAGAAGGAGTAGAGATCACGTGTAGAAGGTTAGTAGGGGCAGAGTGTTGTCTTGCCTTGCGAAGGTTGGTTTGTAATACTAGTCATACTCTTGTAGTTCTTGCCATATCTTGTTTATTGTGTTTCAATTATTACACTATTTGCGGATTTATTGTTCTTTATTGTAGGCTTTACATTGCTTTTCCTATCTATGCTTCAACTTGGGTTTTATGCATTTGAGCGAGGGTCTTTCAGTAATAGACTCTACCTCCACGAGGTAGTGTTAAGGTCTGCATGTACTTTACCCTCCCCAAACCCCACTTAATGGGATTTCACTGGGTATGTTGTTGTTGTTATTATTTTTTTTGTTTGTTGTATATGTTTGGGGTTACATGGGGAAGTGCAGTTCTTTTCTGGTTGTCTCCTTTCACTTAAACCTGTATGCTTAAAGTTTTGAGAAGCTAATCCTGTACTGGTTTGCATATAGCCATATAGTCTTTAGCTACAGGTGGTTTCCCAAAGAACAAGCTACATTTTTTGTCCACTGATTCTATTCTGACGCTATCAATTTATGTATTGCAGTATGCTTTATGCAAAAGCATGAAATCAGGCAGGTCTATGTTCGGAGTACTGCTCGTGTTTATGAGATATACTATGCACCTACTCTGCAGAGCGACAATGAGTATCTATGTACCGTCCGCTGTAGCATAGCTGAACGAGATGGAGAATTTCTCCAAGCTAATGAGATTGAAGTAGTTACCCCGCAATGTTTGGAGGATTATGTAGGAAAACCAACAAAAGGTAGAGTCGCAGCTGAAGCCAATTGCACAAGGGAAGATGATTGGGTTGAGGTTAAGGTTCCTGATGGAAACGGGGTAAGCTGCCTGCAAAAGCACACAACTGGGAAAGAACAAAGAAGTATTGAGGTAGCATTATATAATGACTTTTCTGCACTTGCCTTGTTTTAGTATAAAGAAAGCAAAGAAAAAAGGTTTAAAGGGGTGTAAAGAGAACTTTTGGAAACTTAGTGGATTCTATTGGAGATTTCCAGTGTCATAACATAACTAAGTTGGATTTTGGGGCATCTGATGTAGATGTTTTTTGTCATATGGCATTGTTAGAATGTTAATGGCCAAAGTTTTACCCACTCCGTTATTTTTTTTATCTACTCAATGGGAGAAAAAAGCCAATTTGAATTACAATATCGTATTATTGTCTTGACTGCAGATCTTATCTTGCAGGATTTATACGAGGCCACAGCAGAAATTAGTGATGCAGATCCCTGCATGTCACTTACAATTCGCTTTTTATCACTTCCAAATAAAGATTCTCTATGCATCGACGAAGTTTACATATTTGGTGACCCTATTGACTCTAACGAGGTAGAGACCCCAGCAGCTCCTATGGAAAACCAAGCTAGTTCTTTTATGGCCATGCTTGTTCCCACCCTTCTGCAACTATCTAAATCAGGCGTCAGCCAGAAGCAGCAGGAGAAAGATGTTTCTGATAGTCAAAGAAAGGAAAATGAAGTGGGAATCGCAGTGAGGGCATCTGATTTTTCTGATGCCAATAAAGAAAATGAACAGGAAAAGAAGATGAGTGCTGATCATATAGTGCAGTTGGATGTCACTGACAAGCCTGTAGCAAAACCCACTCATTCCAATCCTCTGATACACCAGGAGTTAAGTAGAGAGAACCACAATACCTCCACCACGAGTAATGATGCTTTACAAGGTCGTATTGTAGGAGCCATTGAACAACTTCTTGACCGAGTGAGCAGAATTGAAAATATTTGCTTGAGATTTGAAGAAAAGATGGTTATTCCAATGAATAGCATGGAGATGAGACTTCAACGACTGGAGCAGCAAGTAGAAACTCTAGCTAAAAGTTCCCAATTTTCTGGAGTAGCTTCCTGCAATAGAATAACAGCTCCTTCATTTACTGGCAGTGAGTCCAATTCTAGCTCTTTGTATAATGATGGAAGTGAATATCGTTCATGTGGGGTATTGGAGCTGGAGAAAAAGGATCCCCCTTGCAATAAGTTGTCCGAACCTTCTGATGACATTCCTGTTTCTTCTAATCCTTCACATGTTCTTCCAAATCTTGTGATTTCTGCCCCTGAGTTTTCATGTGGAGAGGATGAAGAAGAAAATGATATTGTTGAATCAGTAAAGATATCTTCTCAAGAGAAGCAAAAGCAAGTTTTATCTATTGATGATGCTTTAGCTGCAGCACTTTCTGGATTTTTGTCCACGTCCCACGTTCTTCCACCAGATGAAGGGACCTTGGAAGTTATTGCGTCTGGATCTATTAGTGAGGGAGTGAATGAGAAGAATGAGTTTTCAGAATCTACCCTAAGTGCTTCAGTTACCGCTCACAACTGTACTCTGGAGGGAAATGACGACGACAAACCTTCAAAGTATACTCAAATTCTTGCAATTGCAGCTCCTGACTTTACCGAGGAGGAGGACGAATTTGAGAATGCAAATACAAAAAATGAAATAGCTTCTCCAAGCACTGGAAGTCAGGACTTTGTTGACCTTAACAGAAGCAAGAGAGTGGATAACGCAAGTTCAACTGTTGCTTCTGAGACATATGCAGAGCATGAGAAATTTCTCCATGAGAATGTTCAGCTTAAGGAAACTTCTGGAGTAATTGGTTCGAAAGATCATGCTTATGCACAAGAAAGTATCTGCAGATCACAGGATAATCCCACTGCTTGTCCTTCAGGTCAAGATGATAAGGTTTCAGAGACTAATGTAAGAGATTCTACTAATGAGCCACAGATGAATTCTCATAATCTAGGAAATGCTGCTGAATCTGAAGAATGTGATCCTTCAAAAGGTTCTCACTTGGACGTTATGCAAAATGTTTGTGAATATCCAAGACCTTCTGCTCTAGATTTCGACATTCCCATCTTAGATGTGAAGTTCACAGCCAATGAAGACGGTGATTCCAAGTTCTCACTAGAAGTTCTTTTAGGTGACAAGACAGATGTTAATGTTGATGAAAGCACTAATAATGCTGTCACTAGTGAGGGAACAACTTCCACTGATATGAATGATGAAGAATTACTGAAGTGTTTTGCAGGCGATAGCAACACTCTGGTGGATTTTGGATTTTATGCTGCAGATACATTCACTAATTCAGATGGACACAGTAATCCGAGTATATCCAGCAACCACGAGGTAGTCATCGGTCTCATCTGAGACCTACTTTTCGCAACGTGTATAGGTATGTTCAACTAGTTCATGACTGATTTTTCTGTTTTTAGTTATAGTATTCAAATTGAATGTTCTTTTGTTTCTCTAGTCATGTGTAGCTCACAAAACTCCATAATTCTTGACGATTGACATACCTCTCATTCCTGCTCAACCTTTCACCTTTCTCTTAGAGCTGAACTGGTAACAACCAAAATGCAATAACCACAAACAATTAAGAATATACATATATGATTAAGAGCATGTTTGGTACTGCTGTTAAAAACTGTTTATTTTAAAAGTATTTTTTTTAAAAAAATTACTTTTCAGTGAAGTGCTTTTAAAGAAAGTAATTTGTGTTTGGCTTGTTCATTTTAAAAAGTGTTTTTGATAAACAAATTGTGTTTGAATAATGTTTTTCAAAAAGTACTTTTAATTTTCAAATTATGAAAAAGGGGAAGTCGCAATGCACGTGTAATATTAAGATTATTTTAAAGAAATAAAATATTTTATATGTTTATTGTTAAATCACTAGATACAAAAAAAAAAATCACAACAAAAACAAATAAGTATAAGAGATATATTGGTATACATGTTTATATGCCAGAGATATTTTGATTTTGAAATAAATGATTTTCTATTTCTACTTTTAGCAGAAATTTTTAGTTTATTCTCAACAATAGAAAAACATGAAAAACAGCTAAATTTTTCTCTCAGAGAACAAGTGTATTTGGCCTTCCAATCTTATTATAATGGATTTGAATGCATTAATAGTGTCTCCATTATAAAGTCTACCACACATTCCTATAAATTAGTATAGGCAATCACCATTATTTATATTCACCAATAACTTAAACATGAAGATTTTTCTTTTTAGTTTTCTAATATTCATTTCTCAATATTTATTCATCATGAGTCAACCTAAAATCCCATATCCTCCTTGTGATATATGTAGTTGTACTGGCAATGCATGTCAATTACCAGGAGATCCATATCCATATGAGTGGCCAGAGTTGGTGGGAACAGAGATCATACATGCCAAATACATAGTAGAACATACCAATCTTCGTGTTACAGGTATCGTGTTAAATTATCTGATACATGTTGTAATCGTGTTTGGCTTTGCCCTGATGAACATGGTTTTGTTAAATATCTTCCCAAAGTCTGTTGATAAAATCAGAGCATATATATATCGAAGTTGTAATCCTCAACTTTTATAATACTAAAGTCCTTGTTATGTAGATTTGACTTGTTTTACATTCTCTTTAGAGAAATCACACACAAAAAAAATCTCACAAAGCCATATAGCAACTCTATCATTGAACTACTAGACACTTGTTATCAATCGTTTCAATACATTATTAATTCCCCTTCTATGTATAAAAATCTCTGAAATTTCCATAATGTTTCTTCTGAGTCAATATATAATCTATTCGAGCTATATATAAGTTGGTTGATAAAATCAGAGAATATATTATATATCGAAGTTGTAATTCTCAACTTTTATAATACTAAAGTCCTTGTTATGTAGATTTGACTTGTTTTACATTCTCTTTAGAGAAATCACAAAAAAAAAAAACATTCTCACAAAGCCATATAGCAACTCTATCATTGAGCTACTAGACACTTATTATCCATCGTTTCAATACATTATTAATTCGATGTACATATATTAATGTATTCGAGCTACATATTATGTATCCGGTTTATTTTATAATAATTCGATCTACATATTATGTATCCGAAGTAGTTTTTAATGTATCCGAGTTACATATTAATGTATTTGATTTATGTTACTTTTTAAGGATTTAATGTAATTACAAACTAAGTAGGGATAGATTGTAATTTCATATTAAAATTCTGTGATTCCTAAAATTTATTCGAAATTAAATTAAATTAAATTTATTAATTCCCCTTCTATGTCTAAAAATCTCTAAAATTCCTGATTTTTTAACGTATCTGAGCTACATATTAATGTATTTTTCTGAGTCAATATTTAATCTATTCGAGCTATATATATATGTATTCGGTTTATTTTATAATATATCCGAGCTACATATTATGTATCCGAGCAAGTTTTTAATGTATCGAATTTGTGTTACTTTTTAAGGGATTGATGTAATTATGAACTAAAGAGGGACAGATTGTAATTTCATATTAAAACTCTGTGATTCCTAAAGTTTATTCAAAATTAAATTAGACTGGATCGGGCACACGTATGGGCTCAAGATGTTGGGCTCGAAAGCCTATTGTATTGGATGAATATTAAGGTCCAATTTTGGGATTAAAAGAGGGTGATGGTACTTAATTTTCTCATGTTTTTATCAAATTTATTAATAACATTATTAATTATTTTGAAATAAAATAATTATTTAAAAATAGACTAATAAATAAAAGAGAATGTATTCATTATTGTAGAGTAAATCTCCAATATTATTTGAAGAGGAATTATATAAAATCATATATCATTAGTATATAATATTAATTATTTTGAAATAAAATAATTATTTAAAAATAGACTAATAAATAAAAGAGAATGTATTCATTATTGTAGAGTAAATCTCCAATATTATTTGAAGAGGAATTATATAAAATCATATATCATTAGTATATAAAAAGTATATATATTTTTTAATAGTAAAAAAAAATTACCTTGAAATTGTTTCTTTCAAAAAATATTATATATATATATTTTTTATTTTATTTATTTTTAATTTTTTTTTTGAAGAAATTAAAAAAATTCATTAAATCATGAATACTCAAAATTAAATGTTATAGATAATATTGATACACCAATATATATACAATTATTAATTGAATCTTGACCAAACTAATAACTCCATTCACGTTAATTATTGTTTTATTGCCCTATAAATCAAAGCTTTAGATCACCATTTACCAAATAACTTAAACATGAAAGTCACCACAACTTTTTTTCTTCTTAGCTTTGTAATATTCATATCTCAATATTTGGTTATAAGTCCATATCCTCCTTGTGCTAGTGGTGTTTGCAGTGGTGTTAAATGCAAATGGCCAGAATTAGTAGGAGTCGAGGTCAAGCAAGCTAAGTTTATAATAGAACAAGAAAATCCTTCTGTTACAGGCGTTATTTTAGGTGATACTGGATGCGTTCATCAAATGGATGTATGTATTAATCGTGTCTGGATTTGTCCCGATAAACATGGTCGTGTTGCAACTGTGCCACAAGTTGGTTGATGAAGCTTTGTCGATAGAAAAATCAGATCATATCATAGATCAAAATTATCTTTGTCAACTTTTATAATATATAATAAAAAGTACTTTTTGTTTTTATTTATTTATATGCGTTAATATAAATTTAAAATTTATTTTAAATTGAGAAAGTAATCTAACAGAAATATCGTGACAGAAGGTGGAGGCCAGAGTTTTATCAAAAGGGATTTAGAATATAATAAATTAATCACTTAAAAAAACAAATTAAAGTTTCCATCTTTAATACATATACAAAAAAAAATTAATTTTAATCATATATGATTAATATAAGGCTTTCTTAAATATGTTTTGATATAAACGACAAATTGTGAAACCCACATTTATAGTCATTTTCGTTGAACTATAATCGCAAATTATAATTAATTAAATTGTAGTTGTGATGCATAATTAACAACTAGTGTCACTTAGTTGTGTGATTTCCCCAAAATTTTATATACACAATTAATTATTTAAGCCTCTTAACATTAACAACATTATTAATTATTTTGACATAAACTAATTATTTAAAGATAAAGACTAATTATGTCAACTAATTTCCGATTTTTAAGAAAACAGAATGTATTTATAATTTGAACACTATTTTAGAGTAAAGCCACCAATATTATTTGAAGTGAGAAGAGAAAATTAAGTAACAAAACAAATTTATACTATTTAATTATTCATCATAATTATAGTTTGCTATAATTATCACTCGCGACTAACATTATACATTGATTACGTGGGCTGACTTTGAGTTTGTATAATTAGTTACGTTCGTCAGAATATACAAATACATATGTATAATATATAATTATTTAACCTATATACATACACAATTCATCTCTCTCCCACTCTCTGCCTTCTCTCGGCTCGCTTCTCTCCTCCCTCTCTCAACCTCGCTCGCCTCTCTCCTCCCTCTGCAAATTTCGCTTGCCAAATATACAGATGCATATGTATAGTATACAATTATATACATATACAAATCACGTCTCTCCCACTCTCTTCCCTCTCTCTCTCGCCTCTCTCCTCCATCTCTTGTTCTCACTTGCTTCTCTCCTCCCTCTCCCGATCTTTCTTGCTATATATACAAATATATGTATAATATACAATTATCTAACCAATATAGATCACCCTTTCTCCCACTCTTCCCCCCCCCCCCTCTCTCGCCTCTTTCCTCTCTCTCCCAGTCTCGCTTGCCTCTCTCTATCTTATAACATGTAGCTACAAATTGTAATTATCAAACTATAGCTATGGAGAGTAATTAATTATTTTTAAGTGGCTAATGTGAAAGTTTCCCATAAAGATATATATTTTTAATTGTAAATTCGACAAAATTACCTCGAAATTAATTTTAAAAATATATTTAATTTTATAAGAAAATTATTTTAAAATCATTTTAAATTAAAGAAATTCAAAAATTAATTAAATCACGAATACTCAAAATTAAATGTAAAAAATTATAAATGTTATAGATAATATTTTTACACCAATATTCTCCAAATATATATACAATCATTAATTCAATGTTGACCACACTAATAACTCCATTCGTATCATGGATCAAAATTATCATTGTCAACTTTTTATAATATATAATTAAAAGTACCTTTTTTATTTTTATTTATGTGTTATGTAGATTTGATTTATTTGAAATTCTTTTCGAAAGAAATCTAAATAGAGTAAATGGATGATGGAATCACACTGAAGCATATTATTTGATACAAAAGAAACCAGCTGATTTTAAATCATTTTTTCACAACCTGAGTTTTAAAATACAATGAATTATTGGATTATCGATTAATTGTTCATAAAAAAATCTTAAATAGTTATGAAATTGATTGTTCGATAGAAATAAAATCAAAGTCATTATTAATAATTTATTATTGATGAATCAATAATATTTTTTTCAATTCAAGTTATTTTAAGTGATAACTATATAAATTTATAAATCATAAGTATATACAGATATATTTTTAATATAAATATGACCAAACTATCTTGAAATTATTTTTTTTATAAAAAACAATTTAATCTTAATTAATAATTATTTTTAAATTATTTAAAATTGAAAAAACTTGATAATTAATTAAATCTAAATTATATAAAATTAGTTATGAAATTGAAAATATAAATATAATATTATAATTGAATAAATAAATTTAACATCTACTATATTTATATACATAAAATTAATTTTAATCTAATATAAAGAATGCAGTCTTCTATCGAAAAATTCAAATGATCCTTAAAATCATATCTAGTTCCAAAAGGAGTTATGAACTTTGAAATATGAGAGTGCATTTATTAAGTAATTTTAAATTTTAATTCCAATTTAGAACACTGACTTCATGATAATTAGAGATTACACATTATAATATCAAATATATTTAAAAATACACCAAAATTATTTTCAATTAAAAAATACAGCAATTCATCTCATATAGAGTAATGTTAATCCTAAATTATGAATTCTTTTATACATATTTGAAGGGTACAATAATTTTCTTGTCCATTGCATAATTATACCTTTTTTTTAATTGTTTAGAATTGCTGCCCTCTTTATAAGACTTTTAATAATAAAATCACAATTATTTCTAACTCTATAACTATATCGATTATTGATTATTATTAGTTCGATACAAGTAACCATTAAGATTATGCATAATAAGCCTTCTTTGTTAAATATCACTAATGGACTATGTGGTAAATGGAATTTAATAGGGTATTCCAATAATTATTAACTAATTTGCACCTAAAAATTAAGTTTCACTAAATTTAATATGATATACTTAGCTTATACATAAATGTCCTCTTTAATGTGGATTTAGCTAACATCAACACACTCTTAAGTCTCTAACTTCGAAATACCAAAGATGGTAAATAGAGTCGTAAATAATTTTCTTTCTTAATTAGAGGTTCAGATTAGAATTTTCTTAAATATGAAGTAATCTTTATTAGAGATTGTTTTAATTCACTCCTCAATATACGATTTTTCGACGCAAATATGAATAT